TACCTGAGGATGATTTTGAAAATTTAAAGCCCACATTGTGTAAAAGGCACACACTGCCCTGTTTGAGAGCTACCAACAACAGAGCACACACAGCGGCAGTGAGTGTGGGCGCTCACTTGGGAAAAAGTCAGGTGAGAGAGATGGAGCTCTGTGATCCCGCCACCAGCCTCTCTGGGTGTCATGCTCTATGTGTCTGTCCCATTGCTCTTCCGCTACCTTGCACACAAGAGATACATCGTCTGAGGCTGGCCACCTCACCACGGCTTCCCTACTGGGGTTTCCAACTAATGTCACTGGTCTTCAAGGTCAGGACAGAGAGAGAAGGGATTGTCTCTCTGCACAGAACGCTGGACCCAATTTTCTGATTGCAGTCCAAACTTGCTCCTCATTCCGCGAATGATGATTTCTATGAAAAATGTGTAAGTAATTATTCATACTGACTGGCCCGATGCTCTATTTTTTTTAATTTTTTTTTAACTTTCTTTTAATTGTTGTTCAAGTACAATTGTCTCCATTTGCCCCCAGCACTGATGCTCTGTTTTTTAAAAGCACCGTTCTGGGCAGGTGGGATCTAGGTTTTACAACATAGTGTGAGATGCAGAGGAAATGATTTTTTATTCAGAACCTCAATTTTTCATCTTCAAAGTGATAAAACCTACATAATTAAATCATATTGTTATAATGGAAAATAGGGATGCTCCAAAAGCCATTTGATTTTGGACTCGTTGCTGTTAGAATTGAAAGTACTTGATGTTCAGGAAAATCACAATAGGCAGAATAATGACTAACTGTAGATGTTTGTCGAGAGGCATTAGAAAGTATGTATTTTCTGCATCCTTCCCCCTGTGTAACTGAGGTTTCAGACAGGTGCTCGTTACCAATTTAGGCAGAATTGCTTTTCATGGCAGAGAAAGAAGGAAGGTCATTAAGCAAATGGATGTGGAGTGGCTCTCTTGCTCAGGTAGCAGGCCAAATTCAAAGAAAGTGTAGGCGTGGAGAGTATAGTTGCTGACAAACAAAACATTAAAAAAAAAATAAGCAGAGAACAGACTTTGCAATTGCATCAAGAAGGTTGTGGGTGAAGTAGCTGAATTTCCATCTGGAAGTTGCTTTAAAAAATAATGATGTATTTTCTCATAGGAGAAGAAGTCCAAGATTGGTTCTGAGGCTTATCAAAGTTATGAGAGGCCCTGGCTGGCGTAGCTCAGTGGATTGAGCACGGGCTGCAAACCAAAGTATTGCAGGTTCGATTCCCAGCCAGTGTACATGCCAGGGTTGCAGGCCACGGCCCCCAGCAACTGCACATTCATGTTTCTCTCTCTTTCTCCTTCCCTCCCCTCTCTAAAAATAAATAAATAAATCATTTTAAAAAAAAAGACTCACTTGAAAAAAAAAACAAAAGTTATGAGAGAACCATCTTTCTGGTTTGGCATCCTATGTTTTGGAAATGCTCTATCTGTTTTGGTCACAGAATCAGTTACTGCAGGTGGTCATCATAACCAGTCCTGGAGAAAGAGAATGGTGTGACCGTATGGCTTATGCTAACTCTATTCCTTCCCTGGTAAGAGGGTTATATTGCTTAAGAAAATGCTGCCCAACATCTGGACACAAAGGGGCTTTCTAATGACAAGGAAGTAGAAGTGACAGTTGGGTGGGTGACCAGTCATCTCTACCACAGAAACCAAATTTTTATCTGGGGATAATGACAAAAACATTTAACTGAATTTGGTTAAAAAATAAATACCCATTAACTTTGATCTATGTCACATTTGGGAAATCAATGTGATTTTTTTTAAGTTTTTTTTAAGATTTTATTTTATTTTTTTGAGAGAGGGAAGGAGGGAGAAAGAGAGAGAGAGAGAAACATCAATGTGCGGTTGCTGGGGGTCATGGCCTGCAACCCAGGCATGTGCCCTGACTGGGAATCGAACCTGCAACACTTTGGTTCGCAGCCCACGCTCAATCCACTGAGCTACAGCCAGCCAAGGCAGGGAAATCAATGTGATTCTTAAAAAGCAACACAGTATCTCCTTCAAAGAGTTTTTGACCACCTCAAAAAAGGAAAACAGTTAACTTTGTTATATATGTTGAGCAAAATTTAGGACACTAACTTGGGCTTCTGGTTTTCAGGACAACAGATTGGTAACTGGAATGTGAAATAAATCTCAGAAAGGACTGGTTTTAAATCCTAGGAATGACAGATCTCTTCCATTACAATATCTTATATGCACCAGGGCCAGGTGGCTCAGTTGGTTGGAGCATTGTCCAGTAAACCAAAAGGTTGTGGGTTTGATTCCTGGTTGGGGCACATACCTAGGTGCAGGTTTGATCCCCTATTGGGGAGCGTGTGAGAGGCAACTGATTGATGTTTTTCTCACATCAATGTCTCTCTCTCTCTCTCCCTCCCCTTCTTCTCTCTCTAAAAAATAAAAGACATAATCCTTTGGTAAAGAAGAAAAGTTTCCTAAAAAAGGAAAATGTTAAATGCACATCTATACTCATCTGCTGGATCCACATGGTGGGAGGCCCTGATGGTCTCATAGGAATGTCCAGCCTCTCAAAACACTAAGGTGGCTCACCCGTCTGCTGCAATCATAGCTGTTCCAGAAGGAAATAGTCTGTGCACTCCCCGAACCTGCTTAGAAATCACAGCATGGCGCCTCTTAGCCTCCCCACGTCTGTTATTGTAAGGACAGCACCCACAGCCCCCTGGGTAGGCATGGGATTCAGGCTGCCCATAAATGGCACAGAGGAGAACAAGTGCTGTGGGCTAGCACAGAGCACCCTCCTGACCCTCTGCTGGCCCAAGTCCAAGAAGATGACCGACAATAAAACCACCAGCAGGTGGTGTCCAGGACAAACAACACCCTCATGTGGACGGCCCAAGGTCTAGCAGGAACGGTGGAGAATCCAGCCAGGAAATGCTCTGTTAGGTTACACACCTACGATTTCAACGCCAAGAGGATCTGTTCCCATTTAAGACCCGACACTGGAAAAATGGTTGATGAAATGAGTTTCTTGTAGCCCAAAGCTTACGGTATGTTTTTGTTAGACAAACAGTGCTATGAGTAGAAGTTCTGTATAGTGGAACCAAACTTCACTGCCACTGGAACATATTATAAGCTAAACTGACTTGTGGACTTGAATTTAGGCACAATTTACAATGCTGTTTCTATAAGGAAATGTATTCTGGGTTCCAAATGACCAATTTTTATACAAACTTCAGCAATACAATTCACTTGTAATTGCTGCAATAATTGTTTTTCTTTGGGTAATTTTAAAATGCCAAACAAACAAAAAAACCAAAAATCTGTGGAAGTTCATTTGTAACATCAGCAGTTGAATGATATGTACAAACCTATAATGATGAAACTCACAAAATAAGAGTTAATAGTATTGAGAGTGATAAGAAAACATTCTTAGGACAGAACTGAATCTAAGATGAATGTGTTCTGTTAGGCCAAGAGGTTTACCTAACAATTTTAAGCTGCAATCTTTTTAATTGTGTTCAATTATCTGTAGAGACTAAGCAACACTTTACTGAGTATAAAATCATAGGCCTAGTTAAGTATGAACTAATTTAATCCATGTGAAATCCTCAAGAGAGTCTTACCAGTGTTCCCAATATTACCACAGGAATCCAAGGTATAGTGAATTAACTTACCTGAGGTCACGTGGGGAGCCCAGGCATTTTAACACCTGATTTCCATTTTTCATATCTATATTTATACCAAAATTTTGGATTCAAAGTTGCACAAATCTTTTAGATCTTCCAAGGTTTTCCAAAACAGACACTTGAAAAGGATTTCATTAAAGTAAATAATGCTTATACATTAAGTTGGTAATAATTTTAGAAGTTGAAATTTATACATGTTTTTGAAAATTTAATAGTAGAAAACTTAATACCATGTCAGATGGCGGCATCCCACACTTAAGGATATCTATATTGCACAGAGAAAGTAGAAATGCAGCCCTGGCCAGGTAGCTCGGTTGATTAGAGCACTGTCCTGATACACCAAGGTTGTGGGTTCAGTCCCTAATTGGGGTGCATACAGGGGACAACTGATTAATACTTCTCTCTCCACCCCACGCCACCCCCACCTTTCCCTCTCAAATCAATACACATATCCTAGGGAGAGGATTCAAGAATAAAAATAGATAATTTTTTTAAGTGGAACAAAATTGATGTTTCTCTTCCTTTCTCTCTCTCTAGAATCAATAAATTTTAAAAAGGTTTAAAAACATTTTTTAAAATAGAAATGCTTCTATCATCCAAGTATCTGTCCTATGAAGACTCCCCAGGAACTGCCAACATCTAGAGAGGCACAAGATGGGGGGGCTCCGTGTTCACAAAGCTGAGGGTGAAATAGTTCACCTCTGACCCTGTCTCTTGTTCTCTCCAGGGAAGATAATCTCCATGTTGCAAGACTGTTGAGACGCATTGTTATAGTGAGGAGCATGGTCTCTCCAGACATAGGAGTCAGTTCCACCTGCGTCTCTTAGTCCCAGCCTCTAAAATGCAGAACCTAATGTCTCCATTAGCTCCAAAGGAGAAAGGTTTGAGCGAAAATACAAAAACTCTTTGGAAAATGTGTATAATTTCCACACAATGTTTTTAGTTGATCCCTAGCTCAGGGGAGTGGTGGCATCAGATACCTAAGTGTTCCAGGAGGTAGGATGTGAGACTGAGGATACAGACTTTTCTAATTAGGATGGTTGTCCCGAAGCACTTCAGGTTGTTCTCTCTAGGCAGGGAAGCTCGCACAAAGCCCTTCCTCTATGCTATGACACAAAACCAAGTGGCAGGGAGAGCAGAGCTCAACTATCCTCCAATACCAACTCCAGGACTTAGCATCCCCTTTCTCAACCACAAGACAGAAATATGAACACTAAGGCAATGACTAGTACAACTTCTGATTTAGAATGATTGATCATAGTTTATTTCCCATTTAAGTTATTTTCAAGACAAACGGACACAACCTGAATGAGTTTGGAAGAACTTGGGAATTGTAGGACCGATGTTCTTTCCTGCTATGTGCAGGACTCAGAACAATGGAAGCAGCACACATCTCCCCACCTGGCCCTGTGAAGATATGCCCTGAGTTCCTCTCAGGTCCAAACAAATCTGTGCAAATGTCAGTTCCAATAACAGGGGCTGGCATCAAGTGAGAAAAACCACAGAGAAATCTCAAAGAAGGTAAGTGTGTGCAGAAGTGACTTTTAGGAAATCTGGCTACATGAAATGTTGGTTTTTTTTTCCTTCTCATTGAAGATGCAGCCCCTTTGGACTCTTGATGATTCCCCAAAAACAGAGAACCATCTCAGTTCCTGCAGAATATTTAAGATGAAACACATGGTCTCAGCCAACCCCACATTGTACAGAGGAGAATTGGATTCCTAGACCTGTATGGACTTGGTCTAGTTCCCCCTCGATGTGTCAGCTGTGCTGGTATTTGTGACTCCACTGCTTATATCAGAGCCGGGACTGCAGCATGTTCACTTTTCATCATATATGCAGCTCAGCTCCTCGTCTATGAGTGTTGTTAGCTCGAGGAAAGGAATAATGTCCTGGCTGTTTGTTTATAAGGCTGTGAACTTGAAAATGGAAGGCATGCCGAGTATTCCCCCTAACCAGGAGGGAGCAGCAGCTACAGTCCACCCCAACAAAGAGGAAGAGGTTTTCCAGGTCCCACAGAACTACTCAGCCAGACCTAGTGAGTGCAATCTTCCACTAACTGGGGACAGCCAATAAAGCTGATGGCCTGGTCCCAGCACTGTGTGACGGGCCACGCCCTTGACCTCATGGCAGCCTTGGGAGGAGTGATGACATGGACATCATTGCATCACACCCGAATCTCAAGTGACTGAAGAAGCAGGAAGAAAGCAAGGATGTCGACTTTTAGTAGATGAATACTAAGTACTTTCATATTACCAAAGCATTAGACAACAATGGAGTCCACCTTACAAAAGACAGTTTTAAACAGTATGTGAGAGTACTGCTCAAGTTGTCTACACCAGTCTGAACCAAAAGCCAAGAGCAAATCATCTTTTACTACCTCATGTCCTGGAAACATTTGATTCCCTGATTCAAGGACAAAAGGACTCGCTGCAGAATTGTTAGATTTGGAATGGCTCGTAATACCTGCATGTTTTCAGAACCCTGTCACGGATGTGACCTGGAAAATACCGCATACCTGCAACAAGTGGTCCCAATGCTCATAGTGCATTTAAGTTTAGGAATCATTTTTACAGAAACAGAGGTAAGCTTTATGAGAACAAAATGCCTTGTTTTAATACAACATCACCATGTGGGGGAATGCACACCAAATTGGCCTTTTCAAAGAACCCATCTCCATAGCAGAACATTTCATACATTACATGTTGAGGGGCCAGCAACCAGGCTGCCACAGTGAATATTTGAGCACATTTTCCTTAAAAACATAGAACAGGGCCTTCCTTCATTTGACTCAGCTCTAACAAGTTCTCTGAAAGTATTTCATGTCTAGTACAAGGAATAGTACGTCGGAAATAGCACGAGGCAAGTTTATGTTTTCCTAGGAGCAGTTAATTGAAAGTATAAATTGTTTTGTATCTTTAAAACCCACACATACAAACGGAAGTTATCATACAGTGCTTGCCTCTCCAGTATAATGTTCCCAAAACGCTTTCCACTCTGCTGTGGAGCACAGCACGGGGGAGGCACCTCAGGAAGAAATAGGTGGGTGACCAGGGCTTCCAGACTTTTCAGTGGGAGATCTGAAGAGTACAGTGTATGTACATTTTACAGAAATTGCTTTCTTCCTACTGATAATGTGTCCCTGAGTAAAGACAAGCCCCTGTGGGCACACTGGTTTCCCCCCAACTGCGGCCACCTGCCAGGGGCCCCAACACACAAGGTCCCCTCTACTGGATCCTACAGTTTTCCTGGGACTCGGTGCCAGCTTCCGAGCTGGGCGCGGGGCAGCCTCGCTTGGACTTCAGGCCCTCGCTGGGGCTGCTGGCCCACTGTCTCTTAGGGATGTTACTGGCCGAGAGAGGTCTGGCTGAAGGGTCTTGGAGGATGGTGCCTGAATCCGAGGGGCTTTGCTGAGTGACCTTGACCTGCAAAACAAGCATCTTTGTCAGAGGCTTCAATCACATTCACATTCCTACAGCGAGTTTGTCATCAAACTTGAAGTCAGATTCTTCTTCCCCACATCTTGTACACAGTGTTACCCTTTCTTCTTACCTAAGGACAGGTCCCACCTAAGAGCTAGGAAGACACCTGTCATGACCCCTGATGAGGCACCTTGCAAACCTTCCTTGACACCTCTGATGGCCAGAGACCTGCTCCCAAGGCCAGTGTGACCCTGTCAGACCAGAGGGAAGCTCTTTCAGGGCAAAGACTTGGCCTCTTTGCCTTTGTGTCCCCTGACTACAAAGCAAACATTCAACATACACCTAAGAGAGAACCCAAACCAGCTTCATTGACCTTACTGGAGCGGCCAATGTCATTCAAATGAATGTAACCCAAATGAGTGGCACCACCTTCGTAGGATTATAAGCCTTCTTTACAATATCAAAAAGACCTCCCACCTGCCCTCCTGTAACATATTAATCATACTCAGGTCATCTTTACGTGATTTCCAGGTCAGATCTGCATGACAACAGAGGGCAGCAATATAATACAAAAGTCAGGGGAAGTACATCCCCTTTCTGATGGCCTGCCTTTAAGGAGAAAAAAGGAACTCAGGAAATGTAAGGCTTTAAGAAGCAGATGTGAGTCAAGACTTTCTTGGAGGTTTCCATATTAGTGAAAGAAGATAGTGGTCAGAAGAGAAAGAGGAACAAGACAGATGAAGTACGCAAAGGCTTCACTTAGCCAAAGGTAAAGGTAACAGTTTTGCAGAGATTGCAGGAAGAAGATCTTTGAAACCAAACCAAATGAAACACAAAGAAACAGAGGACAGGCTCTCACAAGGGCAATGTATGTTCAGTCCTGGCCCTGAGAGGCAGCACTGTGACAGGTCACTTCCTGAGCCAGTGCCTGCCAATGACCTCCTTGTGAAGCTGCAAGAAGAAAGAATGGCAATTATTTCCTCATTTATATTCTTTCCATAGGAAGTATGTGGTTTTAAAAGGCAGTTCAATACTTTTCATAACAGAAAACACAGCAAATCTGGCCAACAGATCACATCCCCGGAAAGCCTGCCTGTACCTCGGACCACGTGCAGGACACTTAAAAGGGGCAGCAGCCCTGAAGGGTCAGGATGAGGACTGAATGGCAAATTAACATACATGGAACATTGATGGAAACAAACACTTTTTTTTTAATAAGACATCGATTTTTTTTATATTTTATTTATTTATTTTTAGAGAAGGAAAGGAGGGAGAAAGAGAGAGAGAAACATCAATGTGCGGTTGCTGGGGGCTGTGGCCTGCAACCCAGGCATGTGCCCTGACTGGGAATTGAACTTGTGCTGCTTGAAACAAACACTTTTACTAGTACTCTTTCTTTTGTTTTTAAGTGGAAAGCGATACAAAAGACAGGCATTTCCCTTGAACCCATCAGAGGCTGGGGAATCAAATCTTTAGGCTCACCTTAGAAAGAGAGAGAGAGGAAGATCCCATGGGGAAAGAGAATTTGAGCTAGTAAGACTCTTTCCTAACCCTAATTAAATAGCCAAAGTCCATCCCTGGACTTCCCCCGTGCCTCTAGGTTCAATTTCTCTAATGCTAATTGAGGAAATTATAGTCGGTGACCTGGGTTTAAACTATGGATGTGACCCTGAGGCTGGTTGCTTATGCTCAGACCTGTTGATAACAAGTAGAGGTCAAATTCAGCAGGTCCTTAAACTCTCAGGTTCACCCAACCCCTGCCTTACAAACTACATCTGTGGCCACGGGGGGAGAGGGCGAGGACGTGGATGGCTCCGTGAAAACAAACCTCATTAGTAGGGAAAAAGCACAAAGTCCCACAGAACTGCTGACTGACAGATGCTCTGGTGAGGGCATCACCATCCTCCTCTACACCTTAGTGTCCCGTCCGCCGGCACTGACCAACCCCAGGTTCAGATCAGGTCTACACACATCACACTCCCTTGTCCCCAGCAACTAGGAGCTGCTGGGTTTATTCCTCCCAGAGACATGACAGAGAATGGTCCTCACCTAACCTGCTTTTCACCTCTTTTCCCCTTGAACTTGTCACTGTCACATGTCACTGTCTTGCTCAAAACTCAAGCCAGCCACTTCAGGTGAAGGCGACAATCCTACGTTCCTAAGCAACTGCTTCAGAAAAATGATGCCTTGCTCTGTATTTCTCAAACTGAATGATGAAATATGTTTAACTGATGAGGTGAGCATTTTATAATGTGACTCAGGAAATGCTCAATTAAATTAGAATTCAAGAGGCTGGGTTTTGATGTTTGCATCTAAATGTGCAATCTCTCCTATAACCTCTTGGTCAAAGGACCCCCCTTCAATTGCTCATGCACACTAAATTGCTTAGCAATTCATAAAGGCTGGTGCCTCCTGTGGCCAGCAGCTGAGACAGTGATGAGAAAGATGCAGGAAACCCTGGTTAGGACTCCCTCCACAAGGCATTGAACAGCAGTGTGGAGAGCACGCCCCCTAGTGGGCAAAGCCTTTTTTCTTAGAGAATCAGGCTGAACTCCACATGCAACTCCACTTACCATGAACTCCTCATAAAAGAAGAGAAAGAAGACCCGTGTGCTCATTTCAAGACATGATTTTCTAACACAATTTTCAAACATCTGTTTCTCTCTGCAGCCACTTCAGGGCAACCTCAGCAGCTCTATGCATTCAACAAATATCAGTTGAATGCCAGACGTTGCATTAGACAGGAGGACACAGGTAAAGCACAAACAATCAGGAACCTCACGGAACCCATCTTGCAACTGAGAAGGCACACTTTTAAGCAAGTAAATACAATCAAGTGAACCGGCATGACATAATGGAAGTGCAGGGTACTTACTACCTACGTCATGATTTCCTATTTCAGACTCAAATACCTCACTGGATCCCTGTCAGTGTGAGACCAGCAGACAGCCATTGGCATGCACTTTGGAGTAAGGAGCGGCTCCCAGTCAGCCACCTGAGGAAAAGGCCCAGCCTCCTCTGGGACCTAAACTGGACTCCTAGGATGCAGGTCAGGGGTCATCTTATGGTTAATAGCCTAGGTGCAGCTTCATTCTTTGGAGGCACTAGTTGCTTCATGGAAAAGAAGCTGTTTTATGGTCACTGGAATGTCAGGAGCTACCCCAGTGCCCTCTCTTCAGTGTTTTGTTGTTCCCAGAGTCCAGAAGTGAAATGTAAATGGGAGGGAGGTCGGGAGGGTGGGTGGGACCGGGGAATCGATGAGGGAGGGAAACACGCTGCACAAAACGCTAGCGTATTTCTAACACAAGCAATGGACGGTTGGCTTTAATGAGTGAAACAAAATTTCAGCCTTTCCTCCTCACCCCAGAATTTTTAAAATGTTATACGTTATGGACAAACTTAATACTAGGTATAAATTCCTTAAAACTTAAAAACCTCTTATACATCAGCAAACACGTTCGCAAATACGCGCTTGTTTTGATTCAGCTAAATCATCAACCTCACTATAGTTTGGTATCAAAATTCCTAAACACCTGCTCACTTAAGAATGCTTACATTGCACGACTAACGGTTATGCCACTTGGAAAATTTTATTTGCTGGTTCAAGTTAATCAGGTTGCAAACTCCAACAAGCAGGAAAAAAAGTCACAAGAGTTTTTAAATTCTTGATGCTATTCCAGCAGCATCCAACTATATTTCTGGGATCCCTAGTTTGCAAAAACTGGGAGAACAGCAGGACTGTGGCACCAAGACAGAGCAGGTGTTAACTCTGGGCATTAAATAGTTGAGTCTTCCTTTCCTCATCCTTTCAGGATTGTACTCACAGCCAGAGTTCAATAAAGTGAAAGTAAAACACGAACGTTCAACACAATGCACACACACTATGTGTACATAAATGACAGCGCCAGGTGGTGGATTATAGAAATGCTACGAGATTTGTTAAGCAAATATTCTCTATGCTTTAAATAACATTTACCGGGCTCTTTGCAAGGTACACAGAGATTTCTAAGGTCCTAGCCCTCAACAAGCAAAATAGCGAAATCCATAAACAGCTCCTTACTTTTGACATCCAGTGAAAGGTGTGCTTTCAGCAGAAAGTAAAGGAGGAAGAAAAGGTGAAGAATGGACAGTGCGGGGAGAGGAAAAACACCAAATTACCATGACCAAGGCCTGTGCCAAAATGAGAAGTACCACTTCCAGTCCTTCAGTGCTAATGCCTGAAACTTTCTCCCAAGTCCTTTGAATTCTATGGAACAAGGCCACTCCCCATCAAACTGTCTAAGTGGCCTGCTGGGTCAAGGGCCAGGTTGCAGCTGGATCACTTAACGTGTATCCCCAAGGCTGCTCACCGCCGACCTCTTTGTCCCTCATGGAGAGGAAGGACAGACTTTCAAGAGCTCCCAAGTTAGAGGGTGCAGTGTCAAACACTGCCCCAGAGAACCCTGTCATTTCCTGGATTCCCAACTGGAGAGACTTGTGCACAGGAGGTACCTTTTGCGATCTGCTGCCAGCAGCTCTTGGCTGGGAGGCCCCAGCGTGGTTTTCTTTGTGGATATTTAGGAGGGACTGTGTTAACTTCTGAGCGGCAAGGCGGGGGCTGGTCCTGGTCGCCATGGTTGTTCTTCTCAGGATGAAGGGGCTCATCTTTCCCGTTGGGATGTCAGCAAGCCCTAGGAACAAAAAAAGCTGCCTGTCAGCACTGCCAGGTCCCGTTCTATCTACAATGAACACGATATGCATGAGGTCAAGTTTTAACCAAGTTACGTGGCACTACAAAAAAGCTTTCTCCCAGCCTCGGTGGACAGGGATAAAACTCAGAGTCACGCTGGTAGTTGTCAAACTGAATGAATAACTAACAGGTTTTCCCTTATTAGAAACATTTAAAAAAACACACACAATGGAAAAATAACATCAAACAGAAAAATGTTTCCTGCTTCTTCTATGAGGATGTCTTAACTTGAGTTTTTCTAAGATCTGAAGAACACACCAGGCAAATCCTCCTGTAAAATATGGACTGGTGCGGGGGGAGATGAAAAAGTTAAAATAAAAAATAAGGAAAACAAAGGCCAGTTCTTGTTTATAGGGGAAAATATAAAATGCCAAGAGCTCCTTTGGGTGACCACTGTCACGCGAAGAGATCTCACCTCCCTAAAACTAATGCCGGTTTCACTCTCCACATACACCACCTCCTTCCAGAGAAGGAACTGGCCTGCCTTGTGGTGGCCAAGAGGAGAAAGTCAATGCCAAGGACCTTAAAAGACAGGGTATCACACACACCCCAGAGCTGCATTAATGGCTAACTAAAGCAACATTTGGTTTGTTTTGGTTTTTAACCCTTGAACTACAAATAAAACACATCAATGAGAAGGGATGGCTCCCTTTTGGGGGGCTGGATTTCCTAAGGGCTAGAGTTACTCAGAACAGTGGTTCTCCAACCATCTATGGCAATGGATCAGCTTTGATTATTTTCTAGAGAGGCGGGGATGGGGTAATTTCTCGTCTGCTATAGAATGGTAGTTTTGTATAACAGAGGAAGAATGAATCCACAGAGCAATGGTTATGAGCTTGGATGTTGAGACAATGTCATATTGCTATGACAATTTTGAAGTCTTAGAGTTGATTTCTGGACATTTTTGGGGGTTTGGAAGGTGACGAACCAGTAACTATCATTCCCTGACTCTGGGCCACTCTTGGAGGACCCCTGGGGCTTAGAAAAAGTGGTGAGTGGCTTCAGCCAGGGGACCGTATCATCAGACCCCTCCTCCAGTTCACCTACTACCTGAGTCATATGTGACAACAGACAGGAAAGCTTAAAGGGTGTCCTAGATTTGAGGATTTTTCAGCACAGGAATATCAAATGCAAAAGAGCATTTTAACAATCATTTTGCAAAGCTTCCAGCACCTTGTGTAGTGTGACATGAGTTACTGGATCCTATTCAGTCTCTCAAGACAGAAAGGAAAATATACATCTTAAAAGGTATATAATTTCTGAATGTTAATTTTTACAATTGCACAATAACCTAAAACTCCATGCTCCATGCTTCACATGTCTTTTTGCATGTGAAATTCCATGTGGACTTTCAAAACACCGATCATTTTGTTTTAAAATTATGCCGCACCTTTCTGTACAACTTCTGGAAGTCCCTCGGGCTCAAACTCAGTGTCTTCTGCATCCTCTGCAGGGGGTGTGCCCCTTCTGGCCGCCTTCTGGCTTCTTTTAGGAAACGTGTGTGGTGGGGAAGGCGCTGCTCCTCCCTCATTCTCCCGAATGCCGCTGGACCTCTGCCTCTTGCCTGAAGCTTTCCTTCCGCCGGATGATCCCTTCCTTTCAGTCACACAAGGGACTGGAGGTGACTCTGGGTCAACTGACTTTAGCAAAGGGGGAGTCTGGACAGTCGGTGGAGATTGTTGTGAACTCAGACGGGCCACTTGTGTTTCTAACATCTCTTTGTCTCTCTCCAGCTTCTCGTGGCTTATAAGCAGGGAGCAGTACTTGTCCAAGTACTCTTCTGCCTCCTTGCTTTTCCCCTCGAGGGTTTCTTTCAGTTCTTTCAGCTCCGTCATCAGTTCATCTACACGCGCATCCACCAGAGCACCTGTCAAAAATCACAGCATGACACTCTTTAATTGACACTGGACATCATAAAGCAGCAAACCTGAAACTTGTTTTCTAATTTCTTTTTCTTGGTAGACGTGGAGGAACTATATCTGTGCATGTTCTTAGAGTTCTAACAACCCCTGTTTGGGAGGGATCATATCAGGGAAATTACTCTAATAGATTATGTAAGTCTTACTAGGACAGCTTAAAAAAAACCCACCAAATTTGTATTGCAGCTAACCCACGAAACTTTCTTGTGGTTGTTCATATGACATCCAATGGATTAATTTAGCACGTCTCTAGGTTCTCTGTCCATTCTTCCCACTCACTTGAATGAACAACGTAAGTCGTTCAAGAATATGAAGTCTCCATTGTAACGGCTTTGGGAGGCAGAAAGGGGCCAGTGACGAGGCAGGTCCACAAAAGCTCTGAAAACTATCTGTAAGCAATGAAGGGTCTGGTGGACAAAAGTTTAGGGGACAATCAGGGTGGGAGTCTTGTTCAACTTTTAGCTGCCGTGGTTGGCAGGAAATGCATTAGACAAACTCCCTGGAGCCCCGCATACTCCAAGGTCTCTTCTGAGCAGGAAAGACCACTGGAGCACCCTGCTGAGCCTTGGTCCAGCAGAGCCACTGCTACAATGCTTATCATCATCTCTCCACGCAGTAAGAAGCATTCCACTCAGGCATAGGTGGAGAAAAGTTGTCTTTTCTTTTTTATTTTACTTTCAGACCCAAAAATAGAGCCCTCCAACCCTCCCACGTAGCTGACACACAAGGGTGGGCCAAGGACAACCAGAATGAGGTGTCCACAAACTGGCAGCGGCAGTTCTGATGGCTCTCCGCCATCTGGGTCAATGGACATCACGTGGACAACTCTTCCTGGAATGGCCCATTAGCAAAAAGTGCTGCCCGTTTTTGTGTACGTTTTATGGAACAGAAGATGTGATTGTTCTATTTCAAAATGCAGGCTTCCCTCTGAATCCTGTGAATGATCCGACACCGAGCACAAAAGTCGGAAATTGGAAAATTGACAACTGCCGAGAATCAGCCTGCGCGCAGTAGGACAGTGTAGCACGGAGACACTGCCTGTGCCCACACCAGCCCTTGCCGGCCGCGTACAGGGCCCTGCCCAGGGCCTTGCCCAGCTCACCCCACCTGGTTTCTGCTTCTCTGGCGCAGCTTCTTCAAGCTGACACAGCTCCTTCTGCAACTGCTCCTTCTCCTCCTCCTCCATCGGCTTATGGTGTCTGAGCAAAATATCCATCTTCCCCTGGGCACATGTCTTTTCCTTTATATGGGTTTGATTATCCATCTGCAATATAAAACTTGAATTTAAAGCCTTTGATTTCTTTGTATAAGCACACAGAAAGATCATTATGAGCCCTGGCTGGTGTTGCTCAGCGTGTTGCATGCTGACCTTGGAACAAAAGTTGCTGGTCAGACTCCTGGTTGGGCACATGCCTGTGTTGCAGGCCAGGTCCCCAGTAGGGGGCACTGGAGAGGCAACCACACATCAATGTTTTTCTCCCTTTCTTTCTCCTTCCCTTCCCTTCCCTCTAAAAAAATAATGAAAATTTTTAAAAAATTTAAATTAAAAAAAAAACACAAAAAAAATCATTATGAGATATACTTAAGAATCACATATTGTCAATATAAGAATTATTATGTTCACACTAAAACATCTAATTAAGAATAAAACAATTCACCTTTTCTCCTCAGCTTCCTAAGTCTCCCCGGTACACACTGGTTTTCTGACTCCCCTTCTTGGCATCCACAAACACAAAGCATCATTCCTAAGAGTATGCTCTTAAGTCACGGACTCTGCCTGTGTTTATCCAAGGGCAATCACAACTAGGAGGGTGGGGATAGGAGTCCATGGACTTATTCTTCGTGGGTCAAAATTTCTGAGAATTATGTTTTCATCTGTAATCTTGTGCTGATATGGAATCATAATCCCTAAGATGGCATCTGTTCTAGTCACACCAGGTGAAGACTAAACACTATTATGGCTCACAATACCAATTTGAATTTTGTAAGTAGCTCAACTAGAACATGAGTAGACAGGTGGGAGAATTCATGTTTCCTTAACCAAAAACAAAAGCACTGCAAATGATTGAGGCAAAATTGGACCTGATACCAAGGTATTCAGAGTGTGCATTTATGCTACCTTGTCAGAATATTCACACATTTTGCTACAGAAATATGAATTGGTATGAAGTATTACCCTAGATCCTGCTAGAATATTCCATAATATGTGGCACTTGCACTGTTTTGTGTAGCATCTAAAGATGCAGAATTCTAAAACCACTTAGCTCTAAGGGATTCTGGTAGGAGATCATGAATATATAAAAGCTCACCAAACTATCAAAACCTGAGCTCCATATTCATGTTACTAGTGATTTCATCCTGTGTAGATTTCATCCGGAAATCACTAGCAATGTTTCAATAGAGCGGCACTTGCGAAATTTTCTATTTCTGATTCCAACCTTTATTGGATTAGAGATGGATTATTTCAATTGCAAGAATGCTTATCAAGTATATCTCATTAAAATTACAGGTGGTCTGAATAGACTCAAAAATGCACCATTCTGTACATGGTATGAATATCAATGGACATTCCTCACAGTAAAACTGTCAAAGACTAAAAAGGCAGAAAGTGTGTAAAAAAGTAGACCCAAAGCTACATCCTTCTATTATGAAAACCAATTATCTCTCGTGGAACAGAACATCATTGATCATTCATGTTATTGTGAATTTCATGAGTGTCTGTTACATTGGGATATTTCCTTCCTCCTGATCAGTGTATAAGAGCAATAAACCTCAGAAGTTGATATCTCCTTTTCTGTTAGAATATATTCAATACACAATTAACATCATAATTTTAAAAATATATATCTTCTTTTAGTAAAGACCTTTACTGGAAGATATTTGTTTTCCAGGTTCATTATTGTACCTTCCAGATGGCATTCATTTTATAAAAACATCTGTGTAGGAATCAAAAGAGCCTCCTTTCCAAGGAGAATTACAGAAGCACCATCTCCAGCCTCAGATTCCCAAGACTAGAGCCCACCTCCTTTTGTTCCTAGCCAAGAAAGCTTCATGGTCCCTCTGTGGAGAGGAAGAGGAGAGTGGACACATACACGTGCCAAGTGCCCAACCAAATGCTTTGCCACACCTTGACCTTCCTGGAAGCCAGAGGAAAGTAAGTGGGTTTGGTGACAGCAGGGAACTGGGACACCCATCAAGCAAGAGTTTGGAATTACCCACCAAAGTGCTATCTACAGCTGAGGGGCCTGCCCTAATCTGTTATTGCTTTAATCTTCATGTCCATCTCCAGAAGTCTTTAACATTCTCTAGTTTGAGGATTTACTGAGCAATGAAGTTCATTCAAGCCATGAGTCTATAGGCCATCCACTGATTTTAAAAAGAGCTCAGCAGAATTGCTGAGTGATATTATTCATAACTACACAACACTTTTTCATAGAAATTAAAATGAAATCTTATAAGTCAATACCATTAAAACCACAATTCTGTATAAACTGTTCTAAGTCATGAAACAATGAGAAGGAAACATACCTTGGTTTTTATCAATTCTCCTAAAAGCTCAGTGTTTTCTTTCAAAGAATTACTGAGCTGTTCTTTACTGGACTTCAAGAGGTCTATCTCCACCTTCTGCGAGCTGACACATTCTTCTGTAGAAGTGAGTTTCTCTCTATATGTCTGGATTTCCATTTCATGCTAGGGCAGAAAAATGCTATTTCAGCAAAACAAACCCCAAAGAAAACTGCTGTTCCAAGGACCACTTCAAATGGACTCTGCCACTCTCCAACTACTCTACTCTGAGATGCAAATGTCGTTTCACAGCTGAAGTCGTCTAATGAGGCATGTGCAGCGAATTGGGAGAAAGATAATGTAGCTCATGATGACACCCTTCCTAAAACCTCAGAGCACAATAATAATAATAATGCAGAACTTTGACCTTCTTGCAAAACGAATGTCTCCTTACCATGGTCTACACACACTTTCCAGCTCCCCCAGGTACCAAACTCTACTTTTCACCTGTTTGTTTGTATCCAGAAGCAAAGTCTGATGTCTCTTTTCAGCTTCCTGAAGCTGTCGCTGATATTCAGCTATTTCCTCTCTCATTTGCTCTTGCTTTTCCATCTGGTCTTTGTGTGCGTAGTCCAATCTCCTCTTCAAGTCACTATTTTCTAGCATGAGTTCCTTCAATTGGCCCTAATGAGAAAAGTAATACAATCGTGGGAAAGTAATTAAGAACCTCGATAATATCTTCAGGAAATACTGAGTACCAAGGGGGAAAAACTACTTCACGAGCAAGACAAAAATCTATACAGAATAGTGGAATGATCCTTAGCAATGCATTCACTTTAAATTCCAACTTCATGTCCAGTGGCAATTTCCTCTGTTCTACCCAGCCACCCCCAAGGTCACAGCCACGGGACCACAAAACCTCTGAAACCTGACTTCAACTAATCCACTCTGGGACTCTACCCTCCTAGGCTATGGGGCTGGCTTCTTAGAGTGTTTCTATGGCAATCATTCTTTGACCTCATCAACAGCACCACCATTACAACCTTCACACTCGAGCCCCTGCAGAGTGACACTCTCTTCCTTGACCAGCTCAGAGGCCATGTTCTATCACTGTAAGAATTTCCTTGCAAGTGCCCTGAACCCTTTTTCCTCCCTCTCTTCTCTATGCAGGACAAGCAAAACGCCAGCCCTGGAGGCATCTGCCTTCCCTGTGCCAGATCCCACACAGCTGCTTCCACCCGTGCATGTATACGCACGGGCCAGGTCCCCCTCCTCATCTCCCATTCACTCAACCCACTCCAACCAGCCTTCACCCCAGCTCCTCCTGCACCAGCTCCTCCTCAATCAGCTCCATGCTGTCATATACCTCTATGATGCAGATCTGGGGAGCACTATTCAGTCCTTGACCACTCATTTGACCTCTGAGTAGGTCCCCAGGCTGCTGACCACTCCTTCATCTTGAGAGCCCCTTCCTTGGCTGCTAGGACATGACATTCCCCTGTGTGGCCCCACCCAGTCTTCTCAGTGTCTTTGCTTGCTCTTCTCCCACCTCTCCCCCTCCATGCTGGAGGTCCCATGGCTCGGCCTGTATTTTCTATCACTCACATCATCTTGAATTACAACCTGTGTTCTAAACTAGCCGAATGCATATAGCAACCCCAAACCTTTCCTTTAAAGTGCAGCCTTGTGTATTATGTCACTTCAGATTTTATTCTAACACTTGACCACGGCCTGCCTTCCTCTCCATTCTTTTTCATATCATTTTCCATCTGATTCCAGCCACAAGGGCTTCCTTTCATTTTTTAAAAAAGTACAGTTCTTTCTAATCTCAAAGACTTGACCACACTGCTCTCTAGACCCAGAGGCTTCCATCCTGCAGTGGGCTCTCTGTAGGCCTGACTCCCTATCAAGCAGGCAACATTCTCTGACTGCCCCATCTACACTGGGTTAATGCATACCCCGCTCCCCAATTCCCAATTATTCTGCAATAGACAATCTCATTTGTATCCTTTGTAGCACTTAGCAGTTTATGAGTGTTTTGTGCTTCCTGTTGTGTGCCTAGACTGTAAGCGCTATGAGTACAAGCAGCACAGGAGAGCTTTGGTTCAACCTTCTACAGCCTAACCCTGGCAGTGCTTAGTGTTTACAGAATGAATAAATGAATGAATGAAGTCACCACAAGCTCACATGCTCCAATGTATAAACTTGAGGCTAGACACTCAGCTTTTCTTTTTACTAGAGCCTACGAATGAAGTACAATCAACAGCATACTTGGGACATACCCAAGCTGCTCAGCACCAGAGATTTCAGCAGATGCTACATTCAATGTATCATCAGTAGCAACTCCTTCCACGCAGGATTGCCCCAAAATCACTCAAGTCAATTGCTGAGATTAAATGCCCAAACTTTACATTTTTTTAAATATTGATTTGAGAAAGAGAAAAATATCAATTTGCTGTTTACCCATCCATGTTTTCATTGGTGATTCTTATATGTGCCCTGGCCTGGGATGGAACCCATGACCTTGGCTTATCAGGATGACTCTCTTACCAACTGAGCTACCTGGCCAGGACAAATGGCAGCATCTGTAAATTTTCCTCAGCTTCCATACTGTATTTGAAAGAAAGTACAAGTTTCCACAGCTTCTTCTACATGCTACTACAAATATCATTTCAACCTTTTTGTACTCATTCCGGGTCAGAGTCACACTCTATGTGCCGCCCTTTGGTAAGGATTCTGTTGGAGGGAAGCTGCATGAGGACAGGATGGTTATTGGAATGTTTACCATGTAACTGGGTGTGGAAACAGGTTTCACTGCCCCTAGCAACACTGCATGCAGGTGGCAGCTCCTGGGACTCAGTGCTGAGATTCAGGAGAACGGGAGGCACCGGGAATCAGCAGAGCCTGCTATGGGAACAGCAGTGGGGAGAGGGAGCCCAGGTGCTACACATCTTCCCCATGAACGTCTTCTAAAAGAGCACCCAGGACTGCTCTAACTCTACATTTTAGTGGAACTTTCTTTCTGTTATTTTGTTAGTTCTCCACAATATCAGCGGATCTGCCTGTAGCAACACTCTGGCTGGCAGTCTCTGGCAGGCTAGGAAAGCAGCCTATTGAAATCTGCATGAAATCTACTTCTGATGTGACTTTAGTAGAGTACAGGGTCCACATCTACAGAAAAATGTTTGGGCTCCAAGACAGGACTGGTGCTGTGCCCTGCGGCTGCTCAGGGCTCCATCTGGGCCCACAACAGTGCCGGCTTGCGAAGATCGCTGCTTCTCTGATCCTGACAGGAGCGCTCCAGTGATTTTTCTCAAAAGCTCAGTAACATTTGGCACAGTGCAGAAGGTCTTACAGAAACAAACAAGGAGAGTGTGCACACTGATTACTGATCTGTCACAGACGGACTTACTTCTTTGGGCTTCATTTCTTCCAACATTACATTTAATTCTTCAGTTAGCCTATGTTTCTCCCCATTGAATTCTTCTGTCAAGTCCGTCATTTTCTGTGTTATCTCGTGCACTTTCCCCTGCAGCTCCGTTTCCCTCGAAGTCAAGGAGTTTACCTGAAATTGAATCATTCGTTAGAGCTGCTTTTGCTTGTGCATGTTGACCAAATGAGCATGTTGTATCCCTGTGATACAACAGTCGTGACCATTTGACTTCAGGCTCCAGTGAGAAAATGGACCATGTCTAACCCTCCCTTCACTCATCACTCAACCAACATGCTCAGGTCTCACTGGTGAGCTTCCCTTTTGTTTGCAGCAAAGATTCAAGAAAGGACAGCAATAGGGGAAAGAATGACAAGGAAAGATAACATTACTAAGGATCAAAACCCTGCATATAGGCATGAATTTGAATTCAACTTAAACATCAGGTACTATGGTATGATGCAGCATCTTAGATTTTTATCATTTCTTGGACCTCTACTAACCCTGCAATGCCATACTCAGAGGCAAGACACATGGCTGTGATGAGTTAGAGCAAACTGACTCTGCTGCTTGCATTTGTCCCTTCGCATTGAAACTGTGGGGTGTAGGTTTTCTCATCATTTCCACCCGAACGGCCATCTCCTGCAAGCCATCCAAAAGCTCAACACACTTGGAAATAGAGTTCTGACTGATTGCATTTTTCTGGGCACAACTTTTTTCCTGTAACATCTGTGCAGTAAAAAAGAGTTGGGAAGGAATCAGTTTCTCAGATCAGTAAGCAAGCATGGAGGGCAAGTACTTATTTCCATAATAGGGGAGCCACTTCATGGTGGACCTTCCCATTAATCATCAGCGAACAAAACAGGAGCCTGCAGGGGGAGAAGGTGCAAGAGAGGGGCTGGAAGCACAGAATGCCCAACACACACACTGGGAGCCATGAGGGTTCTGTTGGTGACAATTCGATCACCCTCTTTAATACTTCTTTCTCCTAAAGGCTATCAAGGCTCAACAAGGACAAAGGGGATGCCTTCTGATCCTAACTAGTACCTGGTACACCCTCTGCAGCAGTGGTTCTCACCTGGGCATGGGGAGGCTACTATTCTGAGGCACTGTGGGAAAGGGAAGTGTATTGGAGCCAGGAACTGTACATAACCCAGAGCTTCTCCCATGTCCAGGTGTCACACTGACTACCTGGGCCAGTGCATAGAAGAGTCCCATGCAAATGAGTGCCAAAGCAAAGACTCACTACTACTGCAGGCAAGTCAACGTCCCCCAAGTTCAAGACCCCATAAACTTCATCAAGCCTTTACAAAGTTTGGTCCAATATTGCAAATACAGTCCAGAAGGAAATACAACTCATCAGTGGTTTCCCTCCCTCCTGACAACATATACAGATGTACGAAAAGCCACTTACTCTTTCCACATAGGAATGCTGTTCCATTTTCATCGATTCAAGCTCTTCCTGCAGGTCCCTGTAGGAGTTCTGCAGCACTTTGTGGGTGTCCTGCAAAGTGTCATTTTCTGGACTGCAGCCTTTGGATCTTCTGTTCCAGTTCCACGGTCAGACTCTCCAGTTCTGCTTTTTCCTTCTTCATAACTTGGGACTCTTCTTCTAGCCAGGACAGCTTAGAGACAAGCTGCTCTTGGTCTTGAATTTGATGTTTCAGTAAACTGATTTCTTGGTCCCTCTTCTCGAGCTTCTGTTTGCCATCTTCTACTTCTTGAATGAGGCCGTTCACAGAAGACTGCAAAGTAATGCAATCACTTCTGGCCTGGTCAAGGCCTTGCAGCAACTGAGACTTCTCAAGTTCAAGATTAGTTATTTGACCACTAAGATCCTGTTCTCTGGCCTTCCAGGTCCCCTGGTCATCACACAAGAGGGACAGTTTCTCCTGCAGATCTGTAAGTTGTGTTTGAAGCCTCTCCTCGACAATTCTAGATTCTTCTTTCAGCCGAACGATTTCCTGCTGTCTCTCTTGCAATTGATTTTCAAATGAAGACTTTAATATTTCTAATTCAGACACGCGTCCTTGCTCTTTTTGTAATTCTTTTGTCAGATTTTCTTTTTCTGACCTCAGGTTGCCAAGATCTGCTTCCAGATCTCTCACACGTTGGGCCATCTCCTCTATTTTGGCTCTTAGCTTCTCTACCTCTGCTTTGGAGTCCTCCGCCTCCTGAGTCACATGCTCGTGGGTTTTTCTGGACTTCTTTAGTTCTTCTTCAAGTTGATCGACTTCCCCCTTAAGCATATCAGCTTGATGCTTAGTTTCTTGCAGTTTTCCTAAGAGTTCGATCTGCTTCTTGTCGTTTTCCTCTAGTTGGTCTCTCAGCTTTCTGACGCTCTCGCTCAGCTGCTGCACTCTCTGCACTGGGGAGCTCTGTTCCAGGACCTTCCTGGCGTCTGAGTCCTCACACAAGGCTGCCACCTCCTTCGTCAGCTCTTCCAATTCTCTTCCCAGCGTTTCCTCTGCAGCTTTGGACTCTTCTTGCATCAGCATTTTTTCTTGCTCCTTTTCTTCTAACATGTTTTTAAGTGAAGAGAGTGACGCGTCCAATTCAGACACCTGACCCTGTTTTTCTTGCAGCTGCCGGGTCAGATTTTCCTTTTCAGACCTGATCGTGACGAGGTCCAACTCTAAAGTGTTCAGGTGTTCTGTCATCGCTTCTACCTGTGTTTTTAGGGTCTCCACCTCCGCTTTCGAATGCTCGGCATCAAGAATCACCATCTCTTGGTTTTCTTCCGCCATCTGCAATTCGCTTTCGAGGTTCTCCACTTTATCCTGAAGTGAATGATTCTTACTCTCACTTTCTTTCAGTTTCTCCAAGATGTGGAGCTGCTTCTTCTCGTCAGCCTCGATGCGGACCCTCAGTGTCTCCATGCCCTTTCTCAGCTGGTGCACCTCGTCTTGGGTTGAGCTCAGCCTCACGGCGACCTCGCCTTTCTCTGTTCTCGCAGCCTCCAAGGCTTTAGTGACAGCCAGCTTTTCCTGTTCCAGTTCACGTAATGTGTTCTGCAGGCTTTCAGATTCCCTTACCAGCGATTCTTTCTCGTTCTTCAACCGCCCCATTTGGTCTTCCAGCTCATTTTTCCCTAAAGACAGTGCCTGTGAGTCTTTTTCCAAACTCTGCAGCTGCTCCTGCAGGTGGGCTTTCTCTTTTACCAGCTGGCTTAGGTCAGAGGACAAAGTCTGAAGGAGCTGTGTCTTTTCCTTCACCTCGGCTTCCACCACGTCGATGTGAGACAGACACTCTCCTTGATGAAACTCCAGCTCTCGTATTTTCTCCTCCACCTTCTCGGATGTCAGGCGCAGTTCTTTGTTTTCCTTTGACAAAGTATCTAATTCTCCATGAAGCTGGTTTCTCTCCCTGGTGACCACAGAGAGTTTTTCCTCCAGACAGCTTATGACTCCCTGCTTATTTTCATTGTCTTTTTCTAAAAGCAGCTTCTCTGTCTGAACTCTCGCTAAGTCGGCTTCCACAGAGTGGGCCCGGTGCTCGATGCTGCCTTGCTCAGACTTGATCCTCTCCAGCTCACTTTCCACACCGAGAAACCTCTCTCTCCAATTGTCATTCACCTCGGCTACATTATCTGCGGTAACTTCAGCTGACAATTCAGCTGTGCCCATTTCTGAACTAGCGTTGAGGCCTGCTGAACTTTCACCTCCCTGGTGGAACTCCGGGTTATCACAAGAAAAGGATTCCAATTTTTCCATTAAGTCTGGTGTTTCTTTCTTAAGTTCCTCAACTGTCTTCCCCAGTTCTCTGCATGTTTCAATCTTGGTAGCTAGTTGTACTTCCTGTACATTGAGTTTTGAGTCTGACTCTTCTGTTTCACTTAGCAAAATTTCAACATTTTTGTCACATTCCTCTATGGCATGAGGTAACCTCAAACTCTCATTTGATGTCTCTTTTACCTGTAGTTGGAGATTCTGAATGGTTACCTGAGTCTCTAGAAAATCCATAGGCACCAAAGCATTAGGACCAGAAAGCGACAATTCAGAAATGCACCCTGCCAAGTCCTGCGCTTTGTCCTCCACTAGGGAATCGGAACTGGTTTCTGGGGGCTGCTCCTGAGAACCTTCTCCCGCCAGCATGACTGCTGCAGTCTTGGTGACTTTCTCCATCTCTGGGCTGAGGTCCTGCTGGACATCTTTGTCACAGATCAGATGAAGATCCTGCTTGGGTGTTCTGTCTTTGCTTTCCAAAGCACTTTCTTCTGATCCACTTGTGTCACAGCTGTCGCTTCTGCCCTGGAGAGCCTGTGGTTGTAATATATAATGAGAATGCAATTATTTTTCAGGAAGAATACGAAAAGATTCAACAGGCTTCATTATTGCTTTGTAGACACTGGCTTCTTGCCTCTGCTAAGCACATCTCTTCAAATGACATATTTCCTACCACATTCTCCCCTCTCCATCCCAATGTCAACACAGTTAAACAGACATTTAGGAGGCATCCTGTCTGGGCAAGGCACTGGCGAGCTGTTTGTCATGAAGACAGATCCTCTAGTTGTGTGATCATCCACACTGGCACACACTTAAATTTCAAATGGTTTTCTCTCTAGGAATAGTCCAGGTAGCCGAAATAGAAATTTTCCTTTGCTATTATCAGACATGAGGCTAACCAATTCCACATAGCTTGCTCAGCTTCCATCTTTAGCAGTTCTGATACTCTTCAATAGGGGAAGGTGGTGAGGTGTCACGACCAGATTGTCAGCCCAAGGGCTTAAGCCTGCACTTACTATCTGGATTCTGAGAGAGACCATATGCCTGGACATCACCTTCCTGTCATCTGTCAAACAGGGATCAGCTGCTGTGATGACTCCTGCTGCCCCCTCACCACTTGCCATCGGCATCATACAATGGCAGATAGAGGGAATGAAGCGAGACTCCTCAACTCTACAGCATTAGCAGTTTAGCTGGTAGACTACGAGGACAAAGTCATATGTAACTAAGCAGTTTCACATTCAATAAAGAAAGAAATGTCTTTTTAAACAACTGATTTCAAATCACAGATTTGTATCAGGGTAAATTGTTAGAAAATGATTCGGTAATCTGTAATAAGCTCTTACATTTGCTTCAGGACTATGACTCTGTAACATAAAAAGTAGCCAGAAAGGACTAGAGATGTTGACATTCACATCACATTCTCATTCCTAAGCTCCAATGGAATATGTAAGTGCGCTTTCTTAACTTGCAAAGAATGAAAACATACGACATGGACATCCTGAAGACAATACTCTTCTGAGTCTATAATATAATGTTCTCCAGGAGACCTTAAAAAACATCTTCACTAATTCCCCATATTACAGTGTTTAAATGTAATCACTATAGAAATTCAGCTCTCCAAAAAGGTTCATTCTTGTTCCCAAAGTACTGGTTTGTATTTTTAAAAACACTTGAGAATATTTTTATGCCCTTGAAAACCTATCATATCTACAAAGGAATTATTTACTTCAGACTGCTGCTCGGAAGCCAGAAGACTTCGGTGATGACCCTCATCTGTCAGCAAGGAATCACTAGGCGTTAGCAGCTCCCGGAGCCTCTCATGCTCAGACTGCAAGTCTTGGTAGCGCTGGTCTTTGTCCGTTATTTCACTTGACAGCAGTTGAAGCTTCTGCTTTAGATCTTCAACTTGCTCGGAAAGCTCAGAAACCTTCAAACACATGCTTTCCGTTTCCCTCTTATGTTTCTGGTCTGACAACTCGGCTTTCTGCTGGAGTTCTACCTGCGCTTCTTTCTGCGTCTCCACCTCCACTGTCTTGTTCTCGATGACACGGCAAAGGTCCCTCACCTCCGCACTCAGGCTTTCTCTCTCCACCTCCAGCGCGCTGACTCTCTCGCTGTATTCGTTGCTCCTCGTTTCTTGTGTCTTCAGACAAGTTTCCAACTGATTGACTTTACTCTGCAAGATTTCATTTTCTGATTTCATCTGCTTTATGAGTTGTTCCTTTTCACTTTTCCAGTGAGAAAATAGAGTTTTCTCTTCATTCAGTTCTTCGTATTCTTTCTTTTTTAACTCCAAAGCACTCAGTAAAGCTTCAGACTCTCTCTCGGTTTTGCTTAACTTTTTGCTTAGTTGTTCAATGTGACATTCCCTTTTCTTCAGAAGGTCTTGAGAACAATCGCGCTGCTTTTCCAGGTCAGCCAAGGCAAGCTTCAGTTTCTCTGAAGTCAAGGAATTCTCTTGTTGATTGATTTTTTCTTGGAGGTCTCTTAATGTGGTTTCTTGAAAAGCATTCTTAGCTATGAAAAATAAAAAAAAAGCATTGTGAAGGTTTCAAATATTCATTTCATAAGAATTCTAAACGGAAAAAGAAAATCTAAACACACTAACAACTCCTCAGCCTTGTAAAAATTGGCATTATTGTGCAGACACCTCCTGCAAAGTAGATCACCAGATAATCATCTAAACTTCCAGAAAGACAATGAGAAATGTGGTGTTTTTAGGGATGGTAATGCATTTGTTCATCTTCTTTCTAGGCAACTTAGGAAAGTGTTGCTGTATAAAATACCAAGAGATTACTTCCCTAAGCAGTGGAAACTTTTTCTTCTGTGTTTGTGTACATGTGGACAGGAGTAGCTGTTTTATTGTGCTTCCCAGATGTTGTGTGTTTGACAAATGGAAGGCAAGGCCCTCCACCAGCAAAAAGGTCACAACTCACTTTACTGTGTGATACTCGCTTTACTGCACTGGGTGGAACCGAGCCTGCCCTACCCCTGAGGTGTGCCCTGGAGTTTTCACCTCTTATGATATAATTATTCAGAGAGAGCGGCCCTGAAGTGGAAATACTCCCTTCACTGGGGAGTAATTCTGACTTCCCAGAATGAATATGTAACTGCTCCATCATTTTAGCCACACTCCATGGGGCTAATACAAAAGAGGAAAAGATGCTTTACATCAGTACCTCTCGAGGCCTCTATACCAGTATCATTGAGGAAGTATCACCCACGTCGCACCTCCTCACAGTAAAACTGGTGTCCGTGAATCCAAGAATCAAATGGGAGCTTTTTCAAACTTTGTTACCACCTGGTTTTCTGCCCAGCAACACACCTGTACCTCCTGGCTCAACCCAGTTGAGAATAACCTCAGTGCTTTCATTCAACAGTGATAGGCATCCTTCCAACTCCCCAGATAAACTGAGGAGAATAGAAGTTCTCCATAGCAGATGATGAAGGAAGAATGTATTCTAAATGCAGGGGTGACAATAAGTGGAAACCAGTTGCTGTTCTGACCCACTAATCTCAGTCAACCTACTGAGGAATGGCTCTCCACAGGCCACAAGGGCTATCAGTCTCCTCTGCTTATGGGGACCTGAAAAAATGACCCTGGTGGCCAACAAAGGAAACTGCCCAAACATTCACTTTTCTTCTGGTTTTCTTTCAAGAAAGACTGACATGTCTACCTACTGTGGTGGAAAAATTGAAAACTGCCTGGGGGACTTGGGAATTTCAAAAAGAAAACAGTCACAGAGAAGTGTGACCCATAGTTCCATGATCCACAGGGTCCAGTTCAGAGAAATCCTGGATGTGCAAATACCCAAGCTGACAAAAAGAAATGGAACAAGAAGACATATGGTACACCTAAAAATGGGTAATGAATGGTGGATTCATTTGGTGTGTATAGCATGATTCTGTGGCTCTACAGTAAAGACAAAAGCATTCAGTGAAGTAAGTCATCAAAAACCGATGGTCATTCAGGGCTGTGACAACACGCACTTCATGTAGGGAGTTTCCATGGTAAGGGAAACAGTGAGGAGAGGAGCTGTCTGAGCGTCCTGAATAAACACACAGGGGACAGACAACAGCACTCTGGGAAGACAGGCAGAGCTGACAATTTCATTTTGTGTGCTAAACATGTACCCCTCCAGTTTCTAAGTGCTGAAAACAGGCATTTGGGGGCTCTATGGGTTCCAATAAAAAAAAGTGTCCAACTCTCACTCTATAAACTAAACAGCAGAAGAAAGAAAACTTTCTGCACATCCTCTGCAGACGTCTTTCTAGGAGACTAGATGGAAAAATTCAAAGTTTCTACAGCCATCCACCCTCCTCCATACAGCAGCTTAGGAAGTCACTCCACATCACAAACTTTTACTTACCCCTCATTTCCTCTGCAAAATCCTGGCTCTGACTCAAACACTGCTTGGTCTTCTTCAGTTCTTCCTGCAGGTGGCAGACTTCTCTGGCACTTTGCTCAGACTGACTCTTGAGGAAGCTGTTTTCCTTCTTCATTTCCTAAAGCACAAGTTTACTTGGTTATACTCCAAACAAATGTTCCAGCAAACTATGACTTCTGCTTCAGGAAGAGTCCCTAATGGAACTGGTGGTGCATCTCACAGCGGGGAAGATTCACATCTTCCCTTTGAATACTTTATACAGTTAGACATTCTGACTTAAACCAAATGATTTTATGAACAGAAGTGAAAACAAAAGCACGAAACCCAAATCTGATGGTAAGCGTTTTGCTTCCAGAAAACTATCTGTTTGAACTTTCTGGTTGTCTCTAAGCTTGTTAAAGGGTTCACTCGGATGGAAAATCCTGTTGAAAAGATCCCCAAGGACATAAGCCCCAACTTCTTATCACACCTGAATGATCAACTTCATGTTTGCAAAGTCTGATGTGCCAAGGAACAACACACATTCACAGGAAAAATGTTTCCTTCACACTCGAAAATTATCTTAAGGTTCACTGTTACAGGGATGTCTTTATGAGTAAATTACTTTGCCTAAGTGTTTATCAAAAAATCTGCAATGAGCCATTAGCCGGAATGGGCATTATAAAAGATGTAATATAAGAAAGACAGAGTCTCCGCCCTCTGGAAGAAGTGACGCCCATCACTTAACACCACGGGCAAGCACTAATGAGTGGGGAGGGGGCGGGTGCCGTGGGAAACCAGGCTGGATCACAGAAGCAAGATTTCATTCTACATAAAAGAGTTGAAGCTTTCACAGGGAACACAGAGTCTTTGGGCACCTGATCCAATCAAGTGTCCGTGCACCAGAGGGCAATAAAGTAGCAGAGATGCAGATGCACCCCCCTGTATTATCTGGGGTGATGTGTACAATTTTCTGAACCTTAAAAGCAGTAATACTTGTATGCCTGGTAAAAGTGCTGTTGCTTATTAACCACGGAAGACACAAACTATCATAGATGCTCTATTTCCTCAACCTGTTTCCCAACCTTCAGTGATGTTGTAGCTCGAAAGGATCTCGGCTTGTACGCTCTGCCTCCCTTTGGGTCACAGAGAACTGGCATACGGTCACAGAATTAAGGGCCTCGCATCCTTCAGAGGAAAATTCATAAGGCTAACTTAAAAAAAAAAAAAAGCAAGCAACATATAACCAGAGACACTGGAATAAAGAACAAACTGACAGCAACCCGGAGGCGGAGGGAAGAGAGGGGTAACGGGGGAAAACAGAGGAAGGGCCATCAAGGAACATGCATGAAGGACACGTGGACAAGGTCAAAGGGGCCAGTTTCGAGGGTGGGAGGTGGGGATGGGCAGAGCGGGGGGCGGGCGTGCTGGGGTGAACATGGAGACAACTGTACTTGGACAACAATAAAGAAATAAAAATTTTTTAAAAATACACTTTAAAAAAATAACCCTGTGAGGAGTAGGGGGACATTTTTAAAGAAATGGTTAAGTGCCGGCCTCCCCAGCCCTGCCGCGCCGCTAGAAAACAGATGGCCCCGGCAGTGCGGGGCTGGAAAGCTGCCTTCAGTGATCAGTCTGGTTACCATCAGCAGATGGGTACTGAGGTGGCAAAGCCAAGTTCAAAAAGAGGGGGAATGTGGCTAGGGGAAAGTACTTGAAACCTTGCTGGCAGCAGCTCTGTTCATGCGTACATGTTCATCTCGTCATCAAGAAAAGTCAGAGCCCGTTGGAGTTCAACTCCTGTCTTTGTCCTAATCCTGCCTCCCCGCCCTGTTGGCAGATTAAGACATCAATCAGAAAGGAAGGGCTGCTCCATCTGACCCCGAGAATGAGAGGTTGACCTTCACACTAGGCAGTGTTCAAGTGTGCAAAGAAGGATCATTAAGACGCAAGGATGTTACTGACTTACACCAGTATCATTAAACTATACACACCAGAGTCTCCAGGTCGCTCTTCAAACTCAGGATAACCATCATGAAGAGATTGCAGATGTGAGGGGAAAAGCACCTGAAAGCACTCCAGAAAGGATAACGAGGCATTATTAGCCTTTCTTCCCAAAATCTAACAGCAGTCAGATCTGCAGGATGAGTGCTAAGACCAGCTGAATGAGTTCAACATGAGAGAGAGGGACTAGAATTTAACCACCTGGGTTGACTTAGCATTCTGACTTTGTGACCTATCAAATATTTTCTTTCTACAAAATTAATCAGATCAGTTGGCATCTACATCTGGAGGTGGCAAGAAAGTGGAGAAAGCATCATATGCAAAGCTGTGTGTGCCCCGGAAAAGGAGGGGACAACTCCTGATTAGGTGTCTCTTGCTCTCCATCTGCCTCTGTCCATAACTAGATACACTAACTTGAGTAGGAAGTTAAATGGAAAGGTTCACATGTCTTTCTCTATTCTGACCTTAGCTCCATTAATACATGTTTCTAGAGAAGAAATGTTCAGCCAACCCCGGGACCCAGCACACCGTTAATGCTACAGCTATGACCAACTCAAGAACTTGAAAAGGCCAGAATCAGGAAAAGGAACATCTGAAACTGGAGCTGTGGGCTGCCATCTATGAGCAGGTAGTTTTATCTGGGAGGCAATGGCCACTCAAGACTTGATTGGGTAGCTGACTATCGATGACAAGTTAAGCACACAAGGATATGTTCTCCTACGCAACTGTTGCATCCTGACATGATTTGCAAAATTGGACCCAAGTCTGGAAAAATGTAACAAAAATCTCTATAGCCACAGGCCAGCATTAGAGCTTAGCAAGCTATTCCACCCAGATCAACTTCTGTTTAGGGGCAGCAAGGGAGGCATCCTTTCCTAGGGCCAGACAAAACAGATTTCAGCTCTTGTGTGTTGTTTCATGATTCCATCCATGAATGAAGCTTAATATGTCCCCTGCTGGGTCCAAAACTGTTTGGTGTACAAGGGACACAGGCAACTGATGTGTTTTTCCCTTCTACCTCCATCCTTCCTGCCTGTCAGACCAGGCTCCTTAGGGGACCTGGTGTAATACACACCCTTGTGCCTGGAAGGTCCCCCAGCCAGTGCTGCCCCGGTCTTGGCTGTCCAATGCTGGTGCATGATGGCGTAAGCCCAGTGTTCCGGGGCTGACTGCCGGTGCAGATGAGCAGTTTATCTGAACCCTCCATTCACTTTGATACCAAATGTTAACTTTACCCTTGATCGGGCCGTTAAATCATGTTCCCACTACTGATAATTTCCCATCAAGAGCGCTGCATTTGTTTGTGAACACCAACAAGAAGAATTTCAGTACAACTGTCATGTTATTTTGGCATGCAAAACCTATCAGCGTGCTAAATTTGTTTGTACTTACTCATAATTAGTAACAGAAAGAGACCCAGAGTGATAGAACAGGCAACCTTCCAAACATGTCCAATGCCAAATGCTCTCTCCCCTGGCTCATCACCTGTTGTGCTATAGGTGACAGCAAACAGGTCATAACAGTCATAAAGAGCAGCGCAATGAGCAGGTGCAGTGCAACGATCTGCTGAGCACTAGTGTGCTGGCCAGTGTTGAACTTCACCATCAATCCAGCTTTGGAAAGGAAGAGGTATTATTCATCCTCATATGCAGATGAGGAGAGTCAGACTCAAGGGAAAGGCATTGTCCCAAGGTCACTTTGCAGGTAGATGGCAGAAAAGCAATGGAATTTCAGACGTCACTCACTACAGAACCACCGATATTTCCTCGTGAAGTTGTGTTACCGTTCAAACTGGGTAAATCACTTTTCTGATCCCAATGCCAATTGAAAATGTGAGATCCAGCTAAATCCTTTGAGTTTTTCCATCTTCTTCTTTTCAAAAGAAGACACACACACACACACACACACAATGAAGACAACACTAAGTGAACTCGCTGGTCCTGGGCTAGGCCCTCGCACACGACTGCGCTCATTGCACACAGAGGTCGATGAAACACCGGTGGAGGTGCAACAAGGTGGGCACTGAACTCAGTCGAGACCAGGTCAGGGCAGACAGCTCCACAACTGACCCACCACACTCTGTGGGGATATATGACCTTCGGAATCACCTCCAAGACCATGCCCCGCCCACTGCTGTGCCTTGGCCAAGCAAACCATTTGAAAAGTCTTTGAACCCTCTCAACCAGACGACTGCTTTTACAAAAGCTCCCGCCAGGCAGCCAGTGGAGCTGCGGGAGAGTTCCTGGCTGAAAGGGGAGCTCGCAGAGTGAGGAGTTCCATGCCAGTCTGCTTGCAGAAATGTTAGCCAAAGCATCTGCTGGTTGGGCCCCACTGGCCAAAAGGCAAATGTTTGTTCTGTCGAAACAAAACACTTCCATTTTAAAGCGTTCACTGAGGAGACCATCATCTGGGAGGAAGCTTCCTCCCCCTCAGGTGCTGGAACTGTGGCCACCTGTCTCCAGCCTCACGACCCCTCGGGGGCCTGCTGGTTGACAGTCACCGGTTTCCTACGTCAGATGCCCTGACTTTACAGTAATGCTACACTCGTCAAAGATGGGGGGTGAGTACATTTCTACTCTCCTCGCCTGCACAAATAACTGCTTTTTGTAGAGAATTTTTTAAAAAGAAAACTGTTACAATCCAAAAAGTGACTGCCACCTATTTAAAGAATACGTTGGAAGTTTTCTTTTCTGTGACTTTTTGAAAATCCTCACCTGAAGATATGTTTATTGATTTTAGAGAAAGAGAAAGAGGGAGAGAGAAAGAAACATGGATGTGAGAGAAAAACACCGATCAGTTGCCTCCAGTACAAGCCCCAACTGGGGATCGAACCCAAAATCTTTTGGTGTATTGATAATGCTCCAACCCGCTGAACCACCTGGCCAGGGCCTTCCTGTGACATGTGATGGGCAAGAAACTTCTGCTCTGCTGTGCTTTTTCGTAGTACAGCACTGATTTATGGCTCAATCCAAACTGTTTCACTCTACTGAGTGTCCCTGAATGACTCTTAATTAAGCCCTTTCTAATAAACTCCAGGCCACTAAATAAACTTGGAGAGAAGCTAAATTAAAGTTACCAATAAAATCCTCTCAGTAGGAGCAACGTCAGGGTAGCCCTGCAGTGAGTCTGCAAAGACATTGCAAACATGCTCAACACACAGGCTAACGTTGACTTGTGAGGCCAGGGTCGCACAACTTACAATTACCTGATGTTTTCATAAGAATTTGAAAGCTAAAACCTCTTCATCTGACATTTACTTTTGCTCACTTAAATCGCTGATTTTCCACCAGGATTTAATATTTGATGACTCAAAAGCAACCCTTGGAAAAAGATTTAAGTTATATCCCCCATCCCATCACCAATTTTGTTTCTTTCCATTTAGAAAATCCATTGCTTTCTTACTTTCATCCACCTCCTAGGGGGTCTAAAACAATCCTTTATAACAAGAGTAGTATATCTTCTTAAATACAAGTTATATTTTCCTATAATTGCTATAAGGAGTAATTAAATCAGAATAGAAAGTGGGGGAAAAGCACCATGGTTTATGTATTAGGTTATATACCAAATACTTCCTAAGAAATTCTGGCAAATGAAATAGAAATGATATGGTCTTGACAAGCTACTGAAAAACGGTGTCAAGATTCTGTGTCACCGCATCCGGAACAGAAGCTGATAAACGCTCACCTCTGCCCCTCACTCACCTCACTGCTCCTCCGCAGCTCACTTTCCGCGGTCTGACTCGCCCGGAAGGCCTGTTGGGATCGGCTGAAATGTTGCTTCAACTCGTCCAATTCTCTTTCCAACTGGTGCTTTCCTGATGTGACCTACAGAGAGAAAAACAAAGCCAAGTTTGGTTTTCTGTTGCTTACTTTGGAAATCATCAGGTCTTCTTATGTAATACAAGAGTCACTGAGTGCAAGAACTGAGGCCATCGAGGTGGGCTGAGACTCTTGATGTGAAAGACATGGGTCCAACTGCAAGCTTCACAGTAGAGTGGTGTGATGTGACTGGCATGATAAGATCCATCTGGCCGATGGTTGTTAAGAGACTGAGGAAGAAGTGCAGAGCAGGGAGACAAGTAGGAGGCAAGAACGGTAACCCAGGTGGGAGATGACATGGTCTGGGGCCCTACACAGCCATAGAGGTGGTGGAAGTAGTCACATTCCATGTAAAATACAGACAGAGATAAAGCCAGGAGTGTTCTTAGCAGGGAGGTATGTAGCACATGAAGGTTTCCTGGGGTAGCTGATGACACTCTACCCTAAACAGATAACGGATATAAGAGAGCATGCCCGGAAATCATTTATCGTTAAACATTTATTCTATATACATGGTGTTTCCACACAAGAGTTTGACTGTGCTATATGTAATGTACACACACACACACCCATACACACATGCACAGAAATTTCCATGTGTACACACACACACCCATACACACATGGGCGTGCATGTAAGTAAATGAAGGTAGGTAGACTCGGCTGAGTGGTAATGACTCATTTGGAAGTATGAGAGAAAAAAGAGAGGTGAAGATGACAGGTAACACTTGGCCTGAGCAATGTGAAGACCACAATTGACATGTCCTGAGATGAGAAAGTCCAAGGGAGGAGCAAGACTGAACAAGCAGCTCCAGTTCCAGTACTGACATGTGAAGTGTGAGATGCCTTTTAGAGATGCCGAGTGGAAATGGCACAAACACTCGTGAGTCTCAGGTGCAGGACCAATGCTCCGACTCGAGATATGAGCACGGCAGCCATCACCACAGAGAGAGAACCTAAAGCCACACAGCTGGACATTGTTTTTGAAATGAGTGCTAAACAAGCAAGGGGATGTAATTTTCAGTGCTTTGACTGTTTCAGGGCAAAATGACTTGGGAGATCTCCCACCTGGAGACGTCCCGCCCAGTGATCTGATCCAGAACCAGAATGTCAGAGAGCTCCACAGGCCCTGACATCTGACAACCTCACTCCTCACGCTCTCACTCACTCACTGTCCTCTTGTCAAAATGAGACAAGCCAGACCCACACAGATTTCCTCTGTTCTCCTGTTTGAAAGTAGAAGTGTGAGGCTGGAGCATTTTTCCCTCCAACGCCTCCCAGGTCAGCTGCGGGGCAGAACTGGCCAAGGACAAGGAGAGGGAATGAAGTGAGGAGCACCTACTTTATCCAGCTCTGCCTGCAGGCTGTTGCGAGCGTTCTTGGCCTGCTGCAGCTCCTGTGTGAGTCTGCCTTTCACCTGTGAGCTCTCTCTGTACAAGATTTGGAAGGCACGCTGTTGACTGGAGAGCTCCTGAAAAGCAAAAGACACTCTTAGGATTGACGACAGTACACAGGCAGGTTCCAGGGTGACACAGTCGTCCCATAGGATATGTGATGGCAGAGCCAGAGACAACAGGAAGCCTAGCTGACCATCCACTTGGTGATAAACATCAGCAGCCTGAGCACAGGTCCCAGTCATCCAATCCTGGTCTCCGAGGGCCAGGACAGGAGCCCACCTGTTGACTGCACCACCACTATGAAATCAATCACCTCTGTTTGAAGTATCCAGGGGAAAAAGAGAGTAAAGCTGAGCTGCAACCATCACAGTTTAGCTTAGAAATCAAACACACTCATGAATGGAGCTTAAAATTTCAAATACCAACCACCACTTCAGATGGGCAATGATGCAAAGTATATGTCACCAATGAACTTGGATAAATGCATAAGGACACCAGAGTAACATTTGCAGTCGCTTTTCCTTCGACATGTAAGTGTGCTTGTATGTTTTTGGTTGTTACTGGGTTTGGTTTGGTTATTCTACCACCCTAGTGCTACACCAGGTATGAGCAGCTTTGGCACTACTCATATTTTGGACTGGGAACAATGCTTCCTCTAAGGGACTGTCCTGTATTATAGGATGTTTACCAGCATCCCGGCCCTAGCCACTAAATGCTGGTAGCCCTCAACTCCCCTATCCCAGTTGTGACGATAAAAAATGTCCCCAGATATTGCTAAATATCCCCTGGGAAGAAAAAAAGATCAACCCAGTTGCTCTGGGCGGAGTGACTCAGTTGGTTGGAGCATCATCCTGTGCGTGAACCAAAGGGTCACAGGTTCAATTCCAGGTTGGGGCACGTGCCCAGGTGACGGTTTCAGTGCCCAATCAGGACACATGCAAGAAGCAACCAATCTGTGCTTCTCTCACATAGATGTTCCTCGCCTTTCTTTCTCTCTCCCTACCTTTCCCTCTCTCTAAATCAATGGGCGTGTCCTCAGCTGAGGTTAAAACACATTCACCCAGTTGAAAACTGCCATCCATGGTCTTAAGTCTCCCCTTTCACCCAGGAACTGGCAGAATGTGTGGTGTCTCTGCTGCTCCAGAAATAATAGCTGCCACATTTCAACACTTGTTTCACCAGGGGGTCAATCTGTAAGTGATGTAAGTGTCTAACCGCTAGCCTCTACACCTGAAGCTAATGGAATACTATATGTCAACCAGAATGAAAGCAAAATTTAATTACATTTAAAAATACTGAAATGCACAATTGGTGATAATTCCTCCAGGAGGCAGAATGACTTTCTTCTGGGTAATTCTCTGCCTCTTGCCCACTGTGTGTAAGTCGTTCTGTGAGACACACCGTAAAGGAATGGACAGTCAGTGTGTATGTGAGGCTGTGTCACACCCAGATGAGCTCCGATCTGCAGACACTCTCATTGGAAGTCCGCAGACCCTCCAACCACGGGACACACTGTCAGACCAACTTACCTCCTGCTGGCAGCTGTCCCTCCTCAGGAGCATCCTCAGCCCTTACCTGTCGCCATCGTCTTTGCCCACTTACTTCATCGACTACTGTTCTAAAGCGTTTGCCAGTCCGCAGGCATTCAAAGTAGGCAGAGAATATCATACAATTCCCTTCACAACAGAAAGGGTTCAAAGGAAGAAATGGGACCTCTTCTTCCTGTGAACAATAATCTCAAACAAACCAGAAAACATGGATGAAAAGGAACATTCTCACTGCCAGTTGCTTCTCCAATCAAAACCTGAAAGACTCAAAGTATGAAGGGAAACACATGGACCTTCTCCTTCCCACAGGATGACACGTGGCAGCTCCTCCTCTCACTGAGGGCGCTGAGGCACCGCAGACCAACGCCTCATGGACCTGTGCACCTTACCTCTTGAAATTCTTTTTCTTTTTCCTTGAGTTTCTGTTCCAGAGAACATCTGGAACTCTCTGCATTCTGTCGCTGACAGCTCAAATCTTCGGTCAATTTTTTCAGTTTTTGTTCCAATGCAGTACTCTAACAGCAAATAAAAATGCACAGTAGAAAACAAAGTGTTCAGGGAAAGAAGTCATCATTTCCAACATTAGAAAAATTAGTCCCAAGTTCTAGTTCAAGTTCACCATTGTGTTTTGACATTTTTATTTCATAAAAAGTTGGGTTTAACTATTAGCCGTATAGGAACACCACAGTAATTATTTTAGTACACATAACATTTATGTTTGAGAAATAGGAGCAAGAATGTAAAGGCTTAGACCGTTGAAGTACTTCCTAATTTCCACTATAAAAAAGGAATTGGTGTGTCTGAAGAAAGGTTCACCGAATGTTTCGCTGCATACATCAGATTAAAATGAAGTGATGGTCGTGGAAGTTACAGCTGTCAAGTAATCAGATGGTTCCCGTTACTCTCAAGGGGTAGTCTGTTTCAAGCATATTACATTCTGTGACAAACTGTAAACATTAAAAGGCTTCTTTCCACACTGCTCTCGCTTTGCCATTTTAAATTTCTGGAGATTCACAGCACTCCAGGGAATATGACACCTGGTTTTTAACCAAGTTGCCATGAGCAACACCAAGAACCTTCTTTTGTCTTTTCACAGAGCCTTCCTTCCTTAAAATCATCCTTTAAACATGAACTACATCAAAATTGAGGGTGCTCTTCTCAAACTAACTGGAACCAAATGGTCTGAAATCTTCGCGTGCTGAAACCCATTCCTCTCGCTTCTTCGTGGTGCCCACGTCCTGAAACTGCACCCACAAAACAACTCTGAGAGCCCAGGGAGCAGTCAGAGTGGGTTTTGTGGGTGGGAGAGAACTGCCTGGTCCAGAATGAAATGTGCCCAATGGGACAAATTCCTCTACTAATGTATTCTCCTGAGACTCATCATAGTCCCCTTTAGAACTATTACAAATAGTAGGGAAGTAAGAGAAAATTCATTAGAAAAACAGAACACTATGTAATACCTTGCCAGAATACCAGTCAAACACCAATCATTAACTAAGCAAAGATTGAAAGAGCAAAGCTGGTCATAAATGACCACCAGGTTTTACAAGTATCAAAATTTCAAAATGTCAACTTCAAAACCTAAAGTAAAAACCCAGTGGTTCAAATTAATGTCCACTGCCTTGGATATTAAGACACCTTTGTCATTATCCTTCATTTTCTTGAATTTCAAATCACCAAGGAAAAGTAGTATAACACATTATTTATAATAGAAATGGATTCAGTAAACACTGATTGTCCAACACTGCTAGATGTTCCAACAATGTGCTAGGTACTGGGGATACAGCAGTAAACAATTCAGATGAAAATCACTGCCCACTCAGACCCGAATTTGGGACTTCAGCAAATGTGAGGGGCAAAACCCCACAGGTGGTGTGGTACATGAATGAGCACTTGGCCCCCTCTGCTGGCCCCTCTTCAAACTGCAAGTCACTCCATGAAAGGATCCCAGAATCAATTTTTTCTTCCTAGAAACAGTGGGTTAAACAAGATATTCTAGGAGGTTTTATGTACACTTTAATTAAAATTTTAAAAATGACATCCTGATATTGCTGGTGCACAATCACGTCAGAGTAGCTAAGCACTGGGTGTCATGATGTGCCAGAACATTCTGAAAGAGTGTCCAGGGCTCAAGGACTTGAACACATGCAGCACGGGACCCTGGCACTCAGTGTTCTGGGCCTGAGGTTGTCACCTGTACACTGTGGGTGGTGAACTCCAGGCTTGCTGCAAGCACCAAGACTTTGTTTCTGCGTGACTTCAGCAGCTTTGTGTCCCACGTGGCTCATAAATGTAACATGTTTGGGAAAGAGGCATTCCAGACACAGCAGATGTTCACTGAAGAACATGGCATTGATTTTGGGTCAGTGAGCTCCACTTCACTTAACAGGTGATTGTAATGGTAGTTCAGGGAAGAGCATAAACAGTGCACAACTTGACTACAGCAACAGATTTGACCAGGTCATATTGTCCTTACAGGCAAGACAGGGAAAGGCAGACTGAATTTTTAGTTAGGTGGATTGTAGTTCAGGGACAAATGAAATCCATAAAGCACTGAATGAAGAAGTTTGAGGAACCTGGAGGGATGACTAAGAGAAAGAAAGCAGGGCTGTCGTCTCAGCACTCAGCACTGTCCTACTCAAATATTAGGATTCATGATGGAGTCAGAAAAGACTTCAGCAGGTATATAAGCTAGAACAAGGATTCAGTGTTCTTGTCACATCAAACCAACAACACAAAAGGTGAAAGGGTAAGTATGATTCTTATCCAGAGTAACAACTGAGCTGGTAGGAATGCAACTGAAAATGAGCCTCATGGACAAAGAGCTCAGTGTTACAATAACTACTAATATCAATATAAGTTCACCTGTTCAAACACTATGCTAAAGCCTTCATGGAAATTCCTGCAATCTCTACAACAATACTATGACACAGGCTACATTAATATCATTTTATTGATTAGGGAACTGAGATTCTGAACACCGTACAACTGGGATGTAGCTCGAAGAAGCAATACAAGTGAGAGGTAGGTGAGCAAGAACTCAAATCCAAATCTTTTCAACTTGGAAAACCAACTCAGACTGCACAAGACAATGCATATATTGATCAAGGCTGGCCACAGTCCCTTTGGCCCTCCACTGCACCCTCATCCATCTGATTGGTACTTCTCAACAATTGCTCTGTGCAAAGCACTGCACTAGCAGAATGTCTGAAAATGAACCCAGACTACCACATCCACAAAGACAAACTAGATGTGTATTTCTCTATCCCTTCCATCAGGAACAATGAGAAATTCTGGCCCTTACATCAAAACAGGCATAAGCAAGCTCTAAAAGGAGAGGAGACTGATTGACTGCAGACTTCGGGCACAGAAGGAAAACTTCATGGATACTAATAACACCCTGAGGCAGTACCTTCCAGGAATGCCCAGGAAAGCAAGACATTCTCACTGAAGGGAAAACTAAGACAATCTGTGGCCAGCAGAAGAGTTAAAGGAAGTTCTCTGAACAGGAAATGGTGAAAGAAAGAAATTGGAAGGGAACTCAGAAAGAAGAGGAAGGGAGTATGTATCAATATAATAGGCTTTCCTTCCCTTCTTCAGTTTTCTGAACTGTGTTTGACAGTTGCAGCAAAAGTGAAAATGTTGTTGTCTGATACAATTCCACATATATGTAGAGAAAATACTTAAAATTCCATTAGAAACAGAGTAAGATAACAAATGAATAGACGAGTAAATTTTCTATAATTTATTAGAGCTGGTAGAATGACAACACCAATAGACTCTGACAAGCTGTGTGTACTCATGATGGAATGTCTAGAAAATCACTGTGAAGGCTCTACAAAAAGTACATTCAAAAACACTATAGCTAAACAATAATGGAGTTTCAAAATACGTGCAACTAACCCTTAGGAAAGCAGGAAGAAAGACAACAGATGAAAAATGAAAAGATATAGAAAACAAAAAGTAAGAGGGCAGACTTAAACATGGGCTATCACTGATTACATTAAGTGCAAATAGTCTAAATTCACTAATGAAAAGAAAGATAATCAAAGAGTGGATTTCAAAAATACACCCTAATGTATACTGTCTACATCAAGCTCACTTCAAGTATAATAATATAAATAGGCTGATAGTAAAAAGAAAGAATTAAATGTCACAGCAACACTAATCAACGGAAAGCCAAAGTGGCTATATTACTATCAGATAAGGTAGACTTCAGAATACAGGAAATTGCCAGAGACACCAAAGGTACTATAGAAGGGTCAATGCACCCAGAGGTCAGAGCAATCCTAAATGTGTATGCCCCTGACAATGGAGCTACAAAGCATGGGAAGGAAAAGCTGATAAAAGTGAAAGGAGAAATAAACAAAGGAACAATTTTGGGGTGCTTTCAACATCCCATCTCAACAATTCATAGACCTAGACAGAAAATCAGCAAGGATTTAGATTTCAACAATACCATCAACCAACAGGAGATACTGCATTTTAGAACACTTGACCCAATGACAATATGCATTTTTCCCCAAGTGCCCATGAAACATGTATCAAGATAGACCATATCCTGGGCCATAAAACAAACTTCAACAAATTGTAAAGATTGAAGATCCTTGAGTATGTTCTCTGGACATAATGGAGTCAAATGAAAAATCACTCATGGAAAGAGGAAAATCTCCAAACACTTGGAAGCTAAACAAATTATTTCTAAAGAATTCATGGGTCCAGGGAAAAAAACATTAAACACAATGAACTGAAAAAAAATTAAAATACAATATATCCAAATTGTAGAACACAGATAAAGCACTAGTGAGAGGGAAGTTTATAGCATTAAATGTCTCCATTAGAAAAGAAGAAAAGTCTCACATTAATCATCTAAATTCCCCACCTCAACAACCTAGAAAAACAAGAACAAAATAACCCAAAGCAAGCAAATGAAAATAATGGAGCAAAAATCAATGAACTTGTAAACACAAAAATGAGAGAAGCAATGAACCAAAAAGCTAGTTTGTTAGAAAAATCAACAAAGGAACAATGAAACTGGCAAATCTCTAGCAAGACTGACAGTGAGGAAAACGAGGAGACACACATGTCAGAAACAGAGAACCATCTGATGCGCAGGCATCCAACAGTAAGGAGACACTGCAAGCAACTCCACACACGTAAACTGGACAGTTCAGATGAAACCAACGTTTTCCCTCTAGAAACACAAACTATCCCAACTCGTTCAATATGAAGTAAGTCATTTTAATAGCAATGTCTATATTTTCAAGTTGAATTTGTAATTTTGAAACTCTCAAAAGGGGGATCTGCAGGCCTACATGGTTTCATGGAGAATTCTACAAAATTTATAAACAAATAACACAGCCCTGGATGGTGTGGCTCAGTGAACTGAGTGGCAGCCTGCAAACCGAAGGGTCGCCAGTTTGATTCCCAGTCTAGGGCGCATGCCTGGGCTTCAGACCAGGTCCCTAGTGGGGCGTGTGAAAGGCAGCCACATATGTTTCCCTCCCTCTTCCTTCTCCCCTTTCCCTCTCTAAGAGTAAATAAATAAAATAAAATAAAATGAAATAACACAAATTCTACACAATCTCTTCAAAACAGAGTAGAGGAGGAAATGCTTCCCACTTCATTTTGTGGAGTTAATATTATTATAGTCATCTCTGAAACAAATACCAAACACAGTACAAAAAAAGAAAATTGCTGACCAATATCCCTCATGAATATAGACACAAAAATTCTTAACAAATTATTAGCAAATAAAATTCAGAACATTATAGAAAGAATTATACACCATTCCAAGTAGTGCCTATTCCAAGGCAATAGGCATCCTATTCCAAGGATGCAAAGCTCATGCAAATATTTAGCAAGCAATTGATGTAATCAACCATATTGACAAGGCATTATTTCATAAAACTGCGTGTGAATCTATAATTATCTTGAAATTTAAAAGATTAATTTCTTTAAAAGACATAAAAAAATCTGCCTACAAAAAATAAACTGGACATAGAGGTAGGTGTCGATACTACATTGGTTTTTACCTTCTGTCTTAGAAATTTCTAGAGTTTATTAGAAGTCAGTTCCTTAAATCTGACAGGGTTAAGTTTGCAAGTTCCTCTGTGATTCTGACAGTGAGCCAAGTGTGGGGACCCCACAAACAAGGGGATGCCTGGAGGAAAGATCTCACTGCATCAAGAGCTGAGGGAAGGGGCTCACAGCAAGAGAAGCATGGCAAGGGCATTGCAGAAGGAGAGCATGCCAAGCAGAAGGAGCCTGGGCTCAGAGAGAGATTAGGTTCAGGACACATCCAATAGGTATGGGTGGTCCCAGAAAATAATTCCTTTTTTCCTGCCCTTGTCCTCAATACACCATGCTGGCTGAAACCTCTGTATCAGTGCCCCACCCCCATTAGGATGAAGATCCATGAGGGCAATGACTGTTGTCTAATCCCTCACTCATCCATCCCCAGGTCTAGGAGAGGGCCTGGCACATTCAGCAGTCTACACGTGTTTGTCAAATGAGTCTGTGAACAAATGAATAGGGGAAATAGAAGAGTAGATAGGTTGGGGCCGAAGCAGCAATCATTCTCCCCAACCCCGCTAAAATAACCCTCCAATAACAGAACTTCATTGGAGCTTTAAGATTACATGGATATGGGATTTCAAGAGCAGATCAATTGATTCCATTCTATCATAATTCCTAAACATCTTTTAAAGCTCCATGACTTTAGTCTCTTGTATGGACCAGAAAATGTGCCTGGTGCTGCACATCCATGACCTTTAATCTCCACCCTCTGAGATGTCAGAGGTGGGGGATCTGCTCAAGTCCCTTGGCTGGGAAACGTGCAGCCAGGACTGACCCCTCTTCTCCCCAGCTCTAAAAGAACTTACTGGGTTCAATGGCACTGATCCTGCCTAGAATACATTAATGAGGTTCATTACATCATTTAACTCATAAATTTAAGTGTCAAGTACGCTTTCCCAAAAAGTGCATGGAAAAAAGTGGAGATTTTTCAGAAACTCATGAAAAGTCAAGTACCTTGGCTGATGCCTGGTCATACTGTGCTGTCAGTTCGGCCCTACTTTTATTCCAAACTTTCTCTTTTTCATTTAATTCCGTTTTTGCTTTCTCCAGTTGGAGCCGCAGTTCTTGACACTGATTCACTTGGACTTTCATTTCTTTTTCTTGTCCTTGGAGTTGTAGTTCCAACTCGCCAATCTTGCTCCTTAGCTCTTAAATCACAAACAAAACCCACACTTCGATTAACATCTATTTATCACAAAAAATTCACAAGTAAATTCAGAATATATTACTTATGTTACTATGCTCTGAAATCTTTTATCACGCAAATAGAAGTCAAGACACATAAAACACAGAAGCTACTCTTGTTGGATTTAATTTCAATGTGCAGTTTCCAGTGTTATTTATACTCAAGTGTCCTGTAGAAAGCAGGAGAAACCAATTTTCTTGTTATCCCAGAAAACTTGGGGAAGCAAATGCTTTCCTAAAATTGTGAATATTGTCGGATCGAGGCTGAAAAAAGTGCATCGCGTATAACACCTTTATTTCACTCACCAGTTGGTTTTACACACTGGCAGACTAATACTTGTCTTGTGCCAACATCAAAACAAACAAGTGATGAGCAGTGAAAACTTCACCCTCCCACATCCTCCAGTAGCTTTATCTCCAGGAAAGATCAAGGCAGTGTGAACCTCTTCTACTGCCAAAGTTCACCACACATTGTTCTCCATGCCCCCCACACACACACACACAATTTTGGTCCCAATGGCACTAGCAGTGTGAGAGTTCTCACCAGTGAACACCAATGATCATTTTGGATATGTCATAGCAGTGGAAATGATCCTAGTCTGCAGAGTAGAGTCCAAACCACCACCTGGTACCCTTGGCTGTCAGCTGCAGCCTGGGACAGTGGCCAAGGTCACAGGTTTGCTTCCATATGGACAAGCTGGCAGCGCAGAGCAAAGCTGTTCTGCACACACATGCCACACCTCCGGCCCAAAGTGGCCAGACTCAGGCTGGTTTCATGGGGCACAGAAGGAGCCAGAGGAGAAAGGTGAGGAGTGTCAACTGTAACCAACCTACTCACCCTGCTTCTGAAGGACAAGTCAAAGGCATCCATCCTACCTTTGAAAGCTTCAAGGTCCCAGCTTATCAGGACAAATAAAGGTACCCTCCAAAACTGTGATATCTTTTCTCATCCTCAAAAAGGCAGTTATTTCCACATCACCAGCCTGGGATGCTGACCACGGATGTGGCTAACAAAACCCATAAGCACTTTCCAGGACTAAAAATGCCTGGAATCTCAAATTATCTCTGGAAAAGGTAAACCTGATTGAGCTCAAAAAATTACCTTGATTCTGTGTTTTTAGTTGATCCAAAAGTTGAGAACTGCTAGCATTATCACAGAAGCTGCTATCAGCACCTCTTTGCCCTACTGGCAGAGCTGATCTGCTACTTGGAGTCGCTTCTTGTTCCCGGGAAAAGCGAGATGCAGAGAAACCTCTCCTAATGGGAGTCTGTAGAGCATTGGAAGAAAGACGACTTGGGGTCTGTTCTTGTTGCCATGGGAACACGGAGGAGGAGGCCTGGTGCCGGGCGATGTCCCGGTGATTCATGGTGTTTTGTGGAACGACCTGGCTGGCTTTCTGTAAAGACAGAAACTCTTTAGCGCCCTTGAGAAATCATAGTATTCAAGACTCTTTTCAAGCAGAACATAAAGCCTGTCAACAGGTTAGCATTCCCAATGGGTACCAGGAAAGAACTTTCATCCAGTCAAGGGAACCATTAAGAGCCAAGGCCCAGGGAGATTTTCTTATGGTCAGACTTCAGCACTGAAGGCTTAAGCCAGCAGTGCTGAGGCCCAATCTGTTCCATGTGGGCTCAGTTTTTGTATCTATTCTACATCCCTCAAGTACTCCATTAAACACACAAGTGCCAATTTGAATCATGAAATTTGATTTTCCTTTGCCCGTCCTTTGTCACGACCAACCCCCCACCCTCCATAGCTTCGTGCAAAGAGAATCAAAATTCAGTATCAGCCCTGGCTGCTGTGGCTCAGTGGCTTGAGTGCTGGCCTGGGAATCAAAAGGTCACTGGTCCAACTGCCAGTCAGGGCACATGCCTTGGTTGCAGGCATGTGAGAGGCAACCGATCACTCTATGTCTCACACATGGAGGTTTCTCTCCCTCTCTTCCACCCTCCCTTATCCTCTCTGTAAAAGTAAATGAATGAAATCTTAACATTTTTTTGATATTAATCTACAGAACTCTTTCAAGAATCTCACTTTGTATCATACCACGCCTCACCCAGTGTCCTATTAGGTATTTTACGTTACATAATAGACATTTGTGGATTTTCTAATGCCTTGAATTCTTCTCTTTTTCTTTCCACCTGCATTCTGACAAGACATGGCTGGAGGCGCTACATTTCATTCTTTACCTAAGTGCTTTTCCTGCCACAGGGAGAGGTTTAATGTTTATGGACTCAAGTTCCTCCACTAAATAACTCTTGGAATCAAGGTTAGGGGCAGAATTGGTACAAATGACTTAACTGGATAACAAAGCACACGATATTTCTAGGGAGAACTAGAGAGTTATTGTTTAATTTTTCTTCATCTTGATAAGCAATGCGTTTGTCATCCATGAAAATCCTGGTGACTCCAAAACAAGGGTCCAACACAAAAAGAATTAAAATTGTTCAATCTCTATTACAGGTTTTTGAGCCTCAATATTTAAGGTATCTGCTTATAAACTCGGCCTTCCACTCTTTGTGAAATTGTGCCACTTTACCAAGTTCTTGTTTAGCAGAAATATACCATTAAAGCCCAAATGGATTTTTTTCAAACAGATAGTATCATGGGAGTACACATGTAAAGGAAAATTCTATAGATACTAAGTATTTTCAGAGTCAGTCCCTAAACAAGAAGGAGGGGTTTCTAAAACATGCATTTTGTTTATTTTATTGACATTAAACAAATATCTTCGTCTACCTCTCTCTGCTCATTTACACACATCAAAACGGAGTTTAAAACCCCTGGCAGCAACCTACTTCTTAAAAGAACTGGGGAGACGACTGGGGTAAAGGAATCTCCCCACTCTATTTTATTCACTCATTCCCTATTTCTTCAATTAAGAAATATCATAACCAGCCCTGGCCAGGTGGCTCAGTTGATTGGAGCATTGTCCCATTCACCAAAAGGTTGCAGGTTCAATTCCTGGTCAGGGCACATACCTGGGTGGCAGGTTCCACCGCCGTTCAGGGTGTATGTAGGAGAGCAACTGATGGAGGGACTGAGAGAGGGCAGGAGGGAGGGAGGGTGGGAGAGGGGGAGGGAAGGAAGGAAGGGAGGGAGGGAGGGAGGGAGGGAGATAACCAATGTATGAGGAACTTTATTTTTTCAGTGGAAGAAAAATGCACCAGCTCTATGTCAAGCAGATTTTTCTCTATCACTGTTGTAGCTTATATGAAAGCACTTCCTCAACTGCACTCTGCTATAAGGCCTATAATTAACTTATTTTTGCCTGCAAGGCTTTCACCTCTGCCTCGTATCTTTTCCGTTCTTCAACTTCTTTATCATATTTTTCTTTTCCATCTTCATATTTGGAACCTAAACACAGACAAGGAGATACAGATTTACTTTGATCATTGACTTTGTCAACTCACAGATCATCATTACAATAGGTGGTTCAGAAATGAGTATCTTAGTACAGCAGAAAGAACATTTCAGTTAGGGCAACAGATATTGGTCAAATTCTTCAAAGATCAAAATCCATGGAAACACAGGTGTTTTGAATGTTCAGAAATGGAATTCTTTTTGAAACACACCACAGAAGGATAAAGTAAAAAGTGTAGGCCCGCCAATAATTCTGCTTCTTTGAATGAGTTTCTGCAGGTATTTGCCAAAGGCTGGCAGAGTAAAGACACTGAAGTCATTAAGGTCCCTGAAAATGGCTACAAGAAAGTTTTGTAGTGGGATGCATTTTCCTAAGACATGACCTACATTTTTCAAGCTTCCCTAGAACTGGTCCAAACAACTTGGTGGAATTTCTAAATGTAAGTAAAAAAAAATTCAGTGAAAACTCTAGTCTTACTAACTTGATGGCTCAATAGAGTTCAACAGATGTACTGATGTACAGGTTACAGCAAGTAGTTGCATTTTTGGAGTGCCCAGATTAGAAATTGAATTCAGAGCCCAATTAATTTATTTCTTTGGCACAACTGAAATCTCACTAGAAGAACTGTGGATATGCAGGGGAAAACTCCTTACCGCTATAATACTGACTTGGAGTTATTGGAGTCGTGAACAGTTTTTGTGGTGTGTCACATGCACTCCCAGAGACATTTGCAGGCCGCACAGCTTTCTGGCTTCTTTCAAGTTCAGATTTACAGCTGTTAGAAAAGGACATGAGAGGATGCCAAATCAAAGCAAAAGCAACCAAATAGCAATACCATACTGTTTCCAGAGAGGCCTCAGCTGACAAAATTCACCATGTCAGAACTCTTACCACTTCATTTACCCAATACACATGTGACAGACATAAGCTCAGTGACCTGTCTTTAAGGGACTTAGACTAATTAGGAAAACAGAAATAAACCAATAATTACAATGCCATGAAGGCGATAATGAACACCTATAATAACCACACAGAGTGCAAGAAAGAGTTGGGAGGTTGGGGATATATTCCAACATTATACCCTAAGCCAAAGAGAGAGACAGGGATAGAAAAGAACTCAGAACTTCAGAAACACAGGGAATATCCGGTATCTCTGAGGCACGGGCTAAAAATCACAAAACCAGATGCCATTACTTATGTTATTAAGTATAACAAAGCACAGACTTGATCTATGTACCACGTGATTTATGATATTTATTTACTTATTTATTTATTTTGTGTGTGTGTGCAGGTAATAGTTTTAAAACACATATAATAATCAGATTAACATAATGCATAAATATATGGCTGAAAACAGTTACAAAGAAATGGGGGAAGTAAGCTATATGTCATATATATGTACAGAATATCCCTGCCATTTAAGCTCTGAAGACCTTTCCGAAGCAAACAACCTGAAAGAAGATTCAATTCTTGCACATGTCTAATATCTGACTTTAGCTTAATACAGAAATACGAAGAGCACCCTATTAGAACGGCTAACGTGCATCACTCCCTTGGGCAGGCACGCAGTCCTCCAAGGAGAGAGTGAAGACAGTGCCTGAGTGCCCCAGCTCCCCCAGCCCCAAATCCGATCTCAGAAGCAGCAATACCGGGGCTGAAAATGACTACTCAGCAAACGACAGCATCACCTTGGAGCTCACTGTAGGTAACAGCACTGTCCAATAAAACTGTTCTATGAACATGAAAAAAGTAACAATATGTGAATTTCACCTTAATATTTAATTTGAAGTTTTCAAAATACCGTCATTTCAACTTATAACCAACAAAATGTTTTGTATTGCTTTTTACTAACTCTTCAGAATTTGGTGCGCATCTCGGTTTGCACGGCCACACTTCAAGGGCGCAACAGCCACCTGTGGCCAGCAGCTGCCATGCTGGACAGTGGAGGTCCACAGATGAATTTTATTTTGTTTTTTAATTATATTTTACTGATTATGCTGTGACAACTGTCCCATTTTTTCCCACCTTTATTCCCCTCTACCCTGAACCCCTTCCCACCTGCATCCCCCCACCTTAGTTCATGTCCATGGGCCACACGTATAAGTTCTTCGGCTTCTCCATTTGCTATACTATTCTTAACCTCCCCCTGTCTATTTTGTACCCACCATTGACACTTTATTCCCTGTACTTTTTCCCCTATGCTCCCCCTACCCGCTCCCCACTGATAACCCTCCATGTGATCTCCATTTCTGTGATTCTGTTCCTGTTCTCGTTGTCTTAGTTCATTTTTGTTTTTGTTCTTTAGGTTCAGTTGTTGATAGTTGTAAGTTTGTTATCATTTTACTGTTCATATTTTTTATCTTTTTCTTAGATAAGTCCTTTTAACATTTCATTTAATAAGAGCTTGGTGATGATGAGCTCCTTTAACTTGACCTTATCTGGGAAGCATTTTATCTGCCCTTCCATTCTAAATGACAGCTTGGCTGGATAGAGCAATCTTGGATGTAGGTCCTTGACTTTCATGACTTTGAATACTTCTTTCCAGGCCCTTCTTGCCTGCAAGGTCTCTTTTGAGAAATCAGCTGATAGTCTTGTGGGCACTCCTTTGTAGATAACTGTCTCCTTTTCTCTTGCTGCTTTTAAGATTCTCTCCACCACTGGCTGGTGTACCTCAGTGGATTGAGTGCTGGCCTGTGAACCAAAGGGTCACCAGTTCGATTCCCAGTCTTAGACACATGCCTAGGTTGTGGGGCAGGCCCACCGGCAGGGGGCACATGAGAGGCAACCACACATTGATGTTTCTCTCCCTCTCTGTCTCCCTCCCCATCTCTCAAAATAAATAAATAAAATCTTTTAAAAATTCTCTCCTTATCTTTAATCTTAGGTAATATAATTATGATATGCCTTGGTGTGTGCTTCCTTAGGTCCACCTTCTTTGGGACTCTCTGAGCTTCCTGGGCTTCCTAGAAGACTATTTCCTTTGCCAGATTGGGGAAGCTCTCCTTCATTATATTTTCAAGTAAGTTTTCAATTTCTTGCTCTTCCTCTTCTTCTGGCACCCGTATGATTCGGATGTTGGAATAGTTCAAGTTGTTCCAGAGGTTCCTAAGCCTCTCCTCATTTTGTTGAATTGTTTCTTCATTCTGTTCTGGTTGAATGTTTACCTTTTTCTTCTGCTCCATATAGTTGATTTGAGTCCCAGTTTCCTTCCCTTCACTGTTGGTTTCCTGTATATTTTTCTTTATTTCACTTTGCATAGCCTTCACTTCTTCCTCTATTTTGCAACCATACTCAACCATTTCTGGGAGCATCCTGATTACTGGTATTTTGAACTCTGCATCTCATAGGTTGGCTATCTCTTTATAGCTTAGTTCTTTTCCTGAAGTTTTGATCTGTTCTTTCATTTGGGTCATATTTTTTTGGCTTGCAGTACCTGTTGCACTAAGTGGAGCCTTATGTGTTCACCAGGGTGGGGCAACCCACGTGGCTGCGTTGTGATGCTGTATGTGGGGGAGGGGTCAGAGAGGGAACAGTGCTGCTTGCTCTGCTCTCTGCCAGTTTTCAGTCACCTCCCCTGCTCCCCACAATCAAATTGGGCCCTTCTGGGGCTGACTCCCGGGTTGGTGGGTTTATGTACATTCTAGGACCCCGAGGGCGTCTCCAACCAACTCTCCTGTGAGGCTCGAATTTTCTCCCACCACCAAAACCCCTAAAAGTTTTTACAGCTATAGGTTTTGAGGCTTTATTTTCACGTGATAGAACCCTGGGTTGCGCCATCTGGCTCCCCAGTTGTTCTTCCCAGTTTATCTGGATGCAAAAGTGGGACCGCCACCCACTGCATCACCCCCCCCCCACTCCCAGGTCCTCTAGCTGCCATCTTGCCGTGTGTCCTCTCCAGCCAGCTGCCCATCCCTGTCCCTCCCACCTGTATGAGTGAATGTTTCTTCTTGAACTCCTTGGTTGTTGGACTTCCATACAGCTTGATTTTCTGCAATTCTGGTTGTTTTTAAATTTGTTGTTGTCCTTCTTTTGGGTGTGTGAGGAGGCAAAGTGTATCTACGTATGACTCCATCTTGGCCGGAAGTCTCGCAAATGAATTTCGAAGAGTCTTGCATAACTGAGGTTTCTTTTCCCTTTCAAAATTCAGCTCTTACCCCTACTTTTCCTATTTTTCATTAAAAAAACAAAATTATTATTTTATTTTAAATTGATTATTAAATAGCTTATTATTATTTTAAGTAATAAAAGTACAAGTACATAGTGCTACTATTTTTTTATAAACATTTGTTTCTCCTTTCTCTTAGGGACAAAAACACAAACCACTACTACCATAAAAGCACTAAAAGAAGCTGTTTTTGACTAGGTTTGATGACATGAGGTTGCCAAAATTCATAGTTTTTGATCAGCCTTTCAAATGGTCCAACTGAACTTGCTCGAGACTTTCCTGAGACATAGCCCGTGGCTACTGATGGAGAAAAGAAGCTCCTGCCCTGCACTGGAAGGTCATCAGTGAGAATTTCAACTCTACACTCTCCAGTTTTTGTGGTCTCGTTTTTATACTCTTTAACAGTTGTTACACTAAGGACAGCTATGCTCTTAATAGTTGTTACAGTCTGAAGTTTATATAGCTTATAAACTTTTAGGAACATCTATATCCACATTAGAAAATACGAATATTTCAAACTGAATGTGCTACAGGGGTATTCATACCCCATGAAGATGGTGACAATGGATAACAACAATACTAGTAATGCTGGCATTTAACAGTTGCTCTGTGCCATGTACAACCCTGTGCAGTGTAAATCTCACAAAGTGCCAAAGCACTTTGCAGTGAAATATAGGAATGCATACAAAAGTGTCCTGCCCTAACATGTTAAAAATACAAGCATTTCTGACTAAGTTATTAAAACCAGTACTTCTAAAACCAGCAGCCAAAATATGCTTTCCAAAGAAATGAATATTCCAGCATCCTGAGGTGAGCTTTCTACTTCCCTAGCACCTATTTTTCAAAATGAATGATTTATCTTTCATTCATTCATTCATTCAAGAAATATCTGAGGACCTACAATTGCCAGCCACTGAGGATACAGTGACGAACAAGATAGACCAAATCCCTGTTCTCATGGAATTTGGCAGGTCAGATAATAAACAAGAAAATGAAAAACTCAACGAGATACAAGTTTACCCCAACATGTGATTTACAGATAGCCACCTTCCTACATGGATAGGAAACAAAATAAGAAAAAAAAATCTCTCAGCCTAAAAATGCCTCAACTAAATGTAATGTGGAATCTTGGGTCAGATCCTGGAATAGAAAAAAGACATTACTGGAAGTACTCTTCAAATGCTAATCAAGTCTGTAGTTAACAGCACTGAATCGATGTTTATTTCTGCTTTGGTCATGGTACTTTGGTGATATAAGATGCTAACAGGTGTTTCTGTAAGTCTACTGATATTTAAAGTATTCTTTTTCAAATTTATGGGTGTGCATTTGCAGACTCCACAATGGAACAATTTCCTGAAGTACTTTTTGCTTTTAGCTTCTATCATTCCCATTATTTGGACAAAACTCCTCTCTTAGAACAAGAAGATACGATTCATGAACTAGCAGTTTTTAGGCCCCACTAAATCTATTTTGATAATGCCTCTACTGTTTTGTGAGTGGAAAAGTAAGAAGCACTTTTTTATTGCTTCAGTAGGACACTGAAATTGGCAAATTCACTAAGGAATGCTGAAGCTCCCTCTCAGATGGAAATCTCAACAGGAACCTCTTCTTGACTTTGCTTCCCTCCCTCCTTTTCCTGCTCAGATGCCACCACCCAGGACTTTAATCACTCTCTTCCCAATATCCTCAATCATTCCATGTCTTCTGTCCCATTACCCTGGCCAAAAACGATCCTAAATCAATCCTCCTGTTCACCTTCTCAGCATTTATATATCAAACGCTAAAGAAAAATAAATCGTACAGCTCTATAGATGGGTCCCACTAGAAATTCCTCCCTGGTGTCCAACCTCAACAGGATTGAGGACAGTTTTGGTATTATTTTCTGTGATATCACACAGTAGCACAGTGCTGGCTCATGAAACTTAATGAACACAGACAGAATGAATGATTGAGATGAGCAACCATTTAACAAATTTCTATAGCACTGAGTTATGCACTGATAGGACTCAAGTATGTGAGAATCAACTTTCCTTAGATCATTATTTTTTCCACTGGAAAAAATATCACAATGTATAATAACTACATCATTAAAGGAAAAGATAAAAGTATCCGATGAATACACACACAGATATCTGTACAAACACCATTCAAAAAATTACCTCTTCAGTTCCTGTTCCAATTTCTCTATTTGCTTTTTGGTTGAACTCAGCTGTCCTTCTTGCAAATTCACTTGTGCCTCCTTGACCTGAAGTTCATGAGAAATCTTCTGCTTAGCCTTGTCCAGGTTCTCACATATTTCCGTCAAGCTTCGATTTTCATTCTTAAGGGTTGTGGCCTCAGTTTTTTCATTCTCAACCTTGTGGGGGTTGTTCAAAAGGAAAGAGTTTCTCTTACTTCATAAATTTACCAGGTATTCTTTGTAAAACTGAGCTTAACATGGACAACCGATTTTCTGAGAAAGGGATGTACCAACCCAGATATCAATGCCTGCTGAATGCAGGTATTTTCAGGACCTCACTTTAAAGTCTCCAGAGAGAAAAGTTCTACAAAGTCACATATTGTTTATCTTTGCCCAGGCCTACAGGTACCCATCATAGAAAGAGAGGCTTCAGTACGCTTTCAAGAATTAAGAAATAGAAAGAAGTATTCCAAGTCATGAAAGGCAAGGACCTACATCCAAGATTACTCTATCCAGCAAAGCTTTCATTTAGAATGGAAGAGCAGATAAAGTGCTTCTCAGATAAGGTCAAGCAAGTTAAAGCAGTTCATCATCACCAAGCCCTTATTAAATGAAATGTTAAAGGGACTTATCTAAGAAAAAGAAGATAAAAGATATGAACAGTAAAATGACAGCAAACTCACAATTATTAACAACCACACCTAAAACAAAAACAAAAGCGAACTAAGCAATCAGCTAGAACAGGAACAGAACCACAGAAATGGAGATCACACGAAGGGTTAGCAACAGGGGATTGGGAGGAGGAGAGAGGCGGAAAAGGTACAGAGAATAAGTAGCATAGATGGTAGGGAGAAAATAGACAGGGGGAGGTTAAGAATACTATGGGAAATGTAGAAGCTAAAGAACTTATGACACATGGACATGAACTAAAGAGGGGGAATGTGGGTGGGAGAGGGTATGCAGGGTAGAGGGGAGTGAAGGGGGGAAATGAGACAACTGTCATAGCATAATCAATAAAACATATTTTTAAAAAAGAATTAAGAAATAAATAAAAATTAAAAAAGCTCTGTCAATCTTCCTTAGCAGCTTATTTTCAAGTTGGGCTGCTAAAGCCACTGAGTGTAAGGAACTGGAAAACCCTCCCACTAGCAAAGACCTTTCAGTGACTGTATCACTACTACACTGGTTCATGACGTGGTAAGAAGGAAGCACTGTTGAAGTTTTTCTTTACTAGTCCTGAAGAGATGAGGTCTGGGGATATTAAGATGAAAAGCCCACTCTCAAAAAGTGACAGCCATTTAGACCACAAAGTGTTCTATACTGCCCCCCTCGAATACTAGCAGGTAAGCAGAAAGGAGGACAGAGGATGAAAAAACCAGGTAAATGAAATTAAACGTCTCAAAAAAGACCCTGACCACTGTGGTTCAGTTGGTTGGGCATTGTCCTGCAAAGCAAAATGTCGTGGGTTCGATTCCTGGTCAGGGTATATGCCTGGCTTGTAGGTTTGCTCCCCGGTCAGGGCACATACAGGAGACAACCAATCTACGTTTATCTCTCAAAACAATGTTTCTCTCCTGCTCTGTCTTGCACCTTTCCCTTCCCTCTAAAAATAAATAAATAAAAGCTATTTTTTTAAAAAGCATCAAAAAAGGAGACAGATCATGACCACCTAAAGACAGCAAATCCATTTTCCTCTAAATTGAACAGGCCAAGGTAAAATAATTCACACAAACAACGAGTGGACTGTTGTAAACCCCAGCTTTTCAGGGCTACCTTCTGTTTCTGCTTTTGCAGCACGGCCTCCAGAGTTTCCAGCTGAAACTGCCTTTGCTGCCTTTCTTTCTTCAGCTTGTCCAGCTGTCCTTCGAGTTCTTGAATTTTCTGAAGAGCTCTGGTGGGCAGGCCTTCTTTCCATTCTTCCACCACCCAGCTCATTTTGCTCTCTTTGATTTGTTATTCAAACATTTGTAAATACAGTGAAAAAAAATAAGCAGACTGTTAGTCTTACCATAGTAGAAGGACCCTTAAAAGTCTCAGAGTCTACAGAACCATTTCTAAAATCAAGTCTGAAAACTCCCTATTTCAAAACACAATGAAGCATGCATAACATCTGCCTTCCCATCCTCTGAATGGTGACTACCAATAACACTTATTGGGAAGTGTGTCATATGCTAGTTCGGCATACCCTTGCTTTCTGTTTGTCTTAGTTCCCATTTTTTACTTCTTAGAGGACTACCTGCTCTCTACTGATGAGTTTGTTTTCATTATACAAAATATGACTATTTGGCCATGAGATGTTGGATGAAGTAGGTCCTATAAACAGATAAAATACACAAGCTTTCTATAAATACTCTTCTTTCCCCTCTTCACGTCCTTAATTCCCACTGCCTTTTGGTTGCTCTTCCTCTGGGAGGTCCACCACCAGGTCACATCTCCTGCTCACAGTCTCTCATGACACAAGAACTCCCTCACCTTCCAGTAGCTTTCATTTGTTGAATTAATGCATGAATGAACAAAGCTATATCACTACAATTAGTACTAAATCACTGCAAAATGCAGTAAAGTCAGGCTCCACACAGATATTGACCAGGAAACCGGCACATAACCTCAGTGATTCAAACCCCAGCTCAGTCACCTACAGGACCTGTGATATCGGGCATGCTATTCAACGGCTCTGAGCCTTGGTTTCCTCATTTTCATAATGGTGATAATTACAGTGGCAACGTCCTAAAGCAGGGGTGTCAAACTCATTTTCACTGGGGGCCACATCAGCCTTGCGGTTGCCTTCAAAGGGCCAAATGTAACTTTAGGACTGTACAAATGTAACTACTCCTTAACAGTTAAGCAAGAGCTCCGCACTGCACTGGGTAGAAACAAGGTGCCAGCCAGATAAAACAAGGTGGAGGACTGGATTCGGCCCTTTGGGCCTTGTGTTTGCCACCTGTGTCCTAAAGCCTCAGAACACTTTTCCATTTCTCTATTTTAACCTACGGTACCAAGAGGCAAGTGATGTACCTCCTTCTCAGCCACGGCTTAGGACATTTAAATCAGCTGGGAGAAAAGCAAGGCAACAGTTCTTCCTTCACTAGCCTTTAGCACTGAAGCGCAAAAAGAGCACTCATTTTCAAGTTATTTTGGCAATGGGGGTGAGAATGAAGTCTACAACCATTTTAGTGGTTCGTTTCAATTGACTTCATCGGTGAAATTTGTTATCAGCACAACTAATAAATAGTAGATGAAAGTACTAAGAATAATAAAAAAGATTTTCAATTATTCAGAGAGAGTAGCAGTTCGGACTGGTGTGGTTCAGTGGATTGAGCGCCGGCCTGCAAACTGAAGGGTTACTGGTTCAATTCCTGGCTGGGGCACATGCCTGGGTTGTGGGCCAGGTCTCCCGTGGGGGCGTGTGTGAGAGGCAGCCAATCAAGGTATTTCTCACACAGTGATGTTTCTTTCCCTCTCTGCCTCCCCTCCCCCTCTCTCTAACAGTAGATAAATACAATATTTAAAAAGAGGGAGAGAGAGAAGCAAAGGTCTGGGAAAACAATTTAGATATCAAGCTTTGGAAAGCAGTGTTTTCTCTGCTGGTTTAATTTTTTTTTCTCCCAGATGTCAGTTGTTTGAACACAACATCTTAAATTCCACTCCCATTTGCCCCAAAAAACTCCTGAAGGACATCTCAAGCCTCTCTGCCTACAAGAGGTAATTTGCACTGTCCCAATAGACCATTCTGTGCATTCCAGTCTACCCATAGCTTGCTCCTTCGGGAATGACTGTATGCACCCCAGAGGCACACAGTGTAACTGACCTCAAGAATTCTACCAGTCACTGAAATTATTACATAAAGACGCTATAGCCAACAAAATATTAAAAGGAGCGATTTAGACAGACACAAAGATGAGCTTATGAAATTGGCAAGGAAGACTGGCAAGTTTTTCCATTTCACAACCTAAAATACAGCTATAAAGAAGTGGTTAAAGCAATTACTCGACCCAAACTAATTTTGTTTAGAACAAACTTCGACTGTTTAAGGCATCAAAAATCTGTATGGAGCCACTGGGGAAAAAAGAGCCAAAAAATATACAAAACAAAAAGTAAGATGTAAAGGGACAAAGGATGGGGCGGGGCACGGGGGCGGGGTGAAGAAAAGCGCTGGAGGTTAAGGTTCCCTCAAAGAGGATTTACAGGACTTTTCGCGCTTTCCATAAAATGCTCTTTCTATCCCAGATACAGGGAGAACACGCCCGAATCACCCAAACCCGTCAAGTGCCCACGGAATCTCTTGTGTGACCTGTGACTCGTCTGACCACGCCCCCTCCTCCCTGGCACTGCAGGCCCGTTTTCAGGCTTTCCATTCATCAGAATCCCCCACCTCCGCCGAGAAGCCCGCGTTGCTGCCTAGAGTGCCAAGGCTGAGCCTGAGCATGAAACCTGCCGGCTCCTCTAGAACACGCTCAAGGATAGGACTCGGCCCGTCTATTCCTGGGTCCTCATAATAGAACAGACGCAGGCGCACAGGTGCGTCCAAATAAATAAAAAGAGAAGCAACAGAGAAATGCTCTCGCGACTAACAATAAGCACACCAACCCGCCGCCGCCCAGACCAAAATCCAAGCTGGCAGCTCCGCCAAGCACCAAAGCACCCAGGTCCACACATCCATAGGAGCCACTGGTTCCTGTTACGGGAAAGAGCTGCTGATCTCCAGTTCTTTGACCTTACAAACTTGGAAACTGATCCCCAAAGTGCGAGTTCATGACCCAGCAGGGTCTCGGGACACTACCGCGAGCACGGTCTCGGGACACTAGCGGTAGCACAGCGTTACCAGGACCGGATTCTACAGTCAGGTCAGGTAGGAGGGGGCGGTCAGGGAGCCGCACTGCCACAGGCATCCCTCGCCAGTATCCTCCGGCACAAAGCCAGCGTCTCCCCCCACGCCCGCCGCCGTGGCGGGACCCACGCAGGACGCTCACCTTGCCGGCCCAAAAAGAAACACTCTTCAAAGGTTCGGATTCCGGTGCAGCCTCCGAGACTCGGGGCCCCTTTCCTAACTCAAACTATCCGCGGCCGCCACCCGTTTTCCTCGCGTCGGTTTCTGCTCCTGACCGGAGCGGCTAGCAATCCTTTCGTGGTTGCTATTAGCAACGGTGGGCCAATCCGCTTCCGCGCACTGTCGCTGCGGCCTTTGATTGGTCATTTCAAATGAAATTAAAAATCGAGCCCTTACCACGAGGTGCTCACGCTCAACATCAATGATTTTTTTTGTTGTTGGGGGGTGGGGCGGGGGCGGAGACTATGTGCTTTTGTTGGAGGAAGTTTTGAACTGTCTTTTCCGCAAAAACTGGGGCAGCGGGGCCTCTCCTTAGGAGGGTGTGGTCTAGTGCCTGCAGCCTGTGAGAGAGTGCTCTCTGGTGAAAATACTTAATACTGCGCATACATTTCCACTGATTTATGAAATATACAATTTAGGGCATAGATACTTGGTGCTATGCTTGCCATGCATTCCTCATCCAGGGTCATTCTTAATAATTATTTCACGTAAGTCTTATTTTATTTAAAAGTTAACTAAGGCACATAGAAGCTATGTAATTTGATGTTGAACCTATATGATATTGAACCTGCATTATGCAGGACCTCTTAAGTACTGTCTTCTTATTGATCATTTTCTTTTCTTTCCTCTTTTGAACCCCGTCCCCTCTGCTGTTGCTAAGACCCCCTATTAATCGAATTCGAACGAGTGATTGGGGCACTTGTTAGCTGGGATTCCACAGGAGAACTTCGTAGCCAGAAGAATCTCCAAAACGATGCCATCTCTCCTCTTTTGAAGAGTACTGTTTTGTGTGTGTCTGTGTACTTGTTTTGTTTCCTTACTCAACTTGAAGGAAGCTTCTAAAGGCAGGAGCAAAACAAGGAATTGTTACATTATTAGCTCTCTAATGCTGTTGTTTTTCAATAGTTTCCCAACTTCGTGTAAACCTTTCCTTAGACTGTTACACTACCTGAACTGTTCCTTGCCTCTCACTGAAATTCTGTTTCAGAGTCCAGTTCAAGTTCACTTCCTTCAGAAAACTTCTCTATTCTTACCCACCTCTTAGAAACAATTATGTCTTAGAAATAGAATGCTTAAAGGTTAGTTTGATATTTATGCCTGGCTCCGCCACCATGCTCAAACATTCCTATAGAGTAAAACCTGTTTTAATTCATCCTGTGAATTAGTAACTCCCTATACTTTGCACACAGTAATTTAAAAATAAGACCATGTTGGGAGGTAAAGCCAACACCTGGAGGAAAGCCTTGTTCTCCACTATACTTGAATTCCCAAGAAAAGAAGAGGGAGCAGGTAGGGGAAAAGGACTTTTATTGTTAACTGTCATGGTCAGTGTAGTATGTGGCCGGTCATTCTGGGATTTGAACCAAACTGTGTTTCCAACACCAATTACAACACCATTGCTTCCCAAGGGAATTATTCAAGTACTTATTAGCTGCCTGAGGAAAACAGAAAGAGAAAGACGTGTACTAGAGAATTTTCAAGCTTTGAATGAGACATTCACATTTACTATCATACATTCATTTGTTTAGCAGTTGTAGCCACTCTGGAGCCAAGACTTGTGTCATGCTCTATACGAGGCAGGGAAGAAATACATTCACGCCTTGAACACGGGAATCATGTGATGGACACTGTTCCAGTGACTTCTGTGATATTTCTGCACTTCGATTGTATGGTTCCCTCCCCCATTTCTATTTTCCCCCAGGTTTTTGTTTCATTGTTTTCTTTTAGGGACTAAAGGGGGTGAGTCCTATCCAGCCCAATGTAAATGTCTTTTGAGAGTCCATTTTGGCTCCCTGCCCTTCCCTTTCAATTCACTGCCTCATTGAGCCAGTCTTCTCTCTCTGGACTGCCCATCCACCATGTCTACTTTCTGCCCAGGAGTCAGTGCTCTTTGGTTCCAGCACCAGGCAAATAAATGAGACCAGCTGAGACTGGGCAAGGATGAGGGAATCTGGAATGAGTGGGGAGCAGAGAGTCGATGAGTATAGGAGTCAGGGCTTCAGGACCAGTTGTCACAGCAGGGACCAGAGCTTCTTATTCCACTCCTCTCCTGTTCAAAGTCCTTTATCAGAGATCGTGGCCAGCAGGTTGAAGGTACAATGACAATGCACTTAATAGGAGGACAAGTGGTTCTGAGCTGGGTAAGGTGTGGTGTTTAGCAAGTTCTTCTCTGACTTCCCCTTGGCCCACCTTGACTGCAGCCACAGCTGTGGTAGGTAGATAGTTCTGTGTGGGCTCAGACTTCTTCCACCTCAAGTACAAGCCATGGATCACTCCAGTGGTCCTTTCTAGGACTTTCTCTGAAGCTGAGGGAGCCTGCTAAGCCACTACACACGAACAGCCAGGACCTGTGAAGACAGTGGGATCTTCCAGGGCCAGTCTTCAGTGAATGTGGTCCGGAACTAGTGGATAAATACGTGCCTCAGATTGCATGTTTCATGTGGGCGATCCTGAGAGACCCCAGAAGATTCAAACCCCTGGCCTCTACTGCAACAACTGTGAAATCGCGTGCTTGTACTGGCTTTTCTGCCCTCACTGTCTCACTGTCCCTTCTCCCCACTTGGCTCCCTGGAATCATCACCCAGATTAACTTCCATCCATCATTATCTCATTTCTGCTTGAGGAGAGCTCAGGCTAATCAGAAGGTGTCATACACACAGGAGTTTTTATTTTCAGCAAGGTGAAAAATGCAGCTTGGTCTCCCAAATGTGTCAAAAGCTTCTGTTCTGTAGATGGAACCTCAGCTAGCTCATCTGTGACATTAGAAGTGTAATTATAATGGTGTTAACCGGTACCAGTGGTTTTACATTAGGAGTCTCTGCTAGACAAGGGTCATGCTTTCAGTCTTGTTCTGTGCATGTCTGGACTTCTTTCAACTGAAAAACCATGAAGTTCACACATGCTTTGGGACAAGAATTACAAACCCTTGATATTACAATCCTTGATATTAGGGATTTTTATGTTTCTAGGAAACAAAGGTGTGGGGGTCAGTATTACATATTCAACATATTGGTATTATTTAAGTAAAGTAGATTACAAAAAATAAATATTTAACATCTTGGTATGTTTTAAGTAAATTGATTCCAACCATATGGACAGACTCAGTGGTAGGAACCCACAAGAAAAAGGACCTGAAACTTTTCAAAAGCTGTTTCTATTCCCACCACTAGGTGGTTCCCTATGCCTTGGAAAACCTTTAGAAGTAACTGCTGTCTGGCAAACCCTGATCTGCTACATTCTCTTTTCTATGCCCCTCTGTCTCTTCCCTCAGTGTATCTAATGTTTTTGTTTACTCTCTTTCTCAAGTAACATTTGCTTGTGTAAAGTAGAGGAAAACAACAGAAAAGATAATGGCCCATTATCTTAGTGCTTAAATAATCTTTCTTATTCACCAAATAAGAAAATAGTAACATGCACACAATAAGAAATTCCAAACATTCAAGAAAGTTATAAAGATGAATTTGGAGAGGGAGAATGAATGCTGGACATCTGCTAGATTAAAATCTCCATTTTGTAGCTGAGGTCAGTGAGATTAAGATATTTCAAAAAAATTCACATAAGTTACTGACAAAAAATGCAAATAAAGAAAACAGTTTAAACAGATAAAACCTCCTAATTCTGGAATCAATTACCTTATAGAAAATTCAAAAAATATTCTTATACATTCTTGCAATAGTAATTTTTATGAATAAAGTGAAATTATTTACATAATTTTAAATTTTCAGTAGCATTTCTTAGAAAACAAAATGCTTACCTGGTGATTATTTCTTCCCCAATATTGAAATCAATGTTAATGATATTTTCCATCCCGTTGTTAGAAACCTGATGCTCAAAAAAGGAAAGTGGCTGGCAGGGGTCCAAGTTTCCAGAACGACGATATATAGCCACAAGTAAATTTCCCAGCTTGCAAGAGAAGCTTGCTCCCGGAGATGACAGCATTATTACGACGTGACTGAGTTCAACTGGTCTCCAGCTCATTTTCAGTAATAGTTTTGTTCCAGGGGTCAAGCTAACCATGAAGTGAATGATTCTCTCAACCTCTGTGATTAAGTATTTCACACCGTGGAATGAAAGCTGAAGAAATTCCCTAAAGCAGGAATAAAACTTGAGTGTCCCTAAGAATATCACAGAAAGATTTTCTACAGTGAAAACTTTGAGTCTGTGCCTAGTTCTGAATTAAAGGGTTGGGGGGAGTGCAGAAATCCATTGACGAAGCCCTCCTGAGTCAACTGACAAGGTGGATATACTTCCCGGCTTACTTCTGTTGTCCTGGTATCGTCGGATTTAATGTTTCCCAGAGTTGTTGTCGTTGCTGCTGCTGCTTTTAACAGAACATTATTACCAATAGTTGTATTAAAATAGCCTAAGATGGGCTTGGTAGGTCACTTGGTACTTCCACCTTCTCCCATGGTCTTCTCTAGTCATGGGTGAGATCCTGCTACGGTAAGTGGAGACATGAAACAAGTGGTTAAATCAATGATAAGTACTCTCACTATTTCAAAACCTTTCTTGACACAGGAAACAAACTCCTCCACTTTAAGGAGAGCATACAGGAGACCGGCTGATACAGTGTGGCTGCATACAGGTGAATTTGGACCACTAACGTCTGGTCCCAAGAGAAGTGGGAGAGGTGTTTGTTAACTGCTGCCCCTAGTGGCCCTGTGGGGTAAGAGTCAGTTGTGCCTCAGTCCTGACTGGGGGCCTTGCCATTGGCCATTGGGCTGTAGGCATGCCAGTCAGTGAGACCACGGTGAGATGTGGGAACTAACAAGTGTGGTGAATGTGAAGTAAATGTGGGAAGTGGGCATTCAGCATGCCTGCCACAGAGCTTATATAGATAGAGTGGCCCCGATGTTCCTGCTAAAATACTTTTCTTATATACTAGATACTATAAATTCTACTACTTATTTACTTTATCATTTATTATTGTGTCATCTTCTTAAAGAATCTGCTACATCAAACTAAACAGTTCTTGCACAGCAAAGGAAAACATCAACAAAATAAAAAGACAACCCCAGAATGGGAGAACATATTTGCCCATACATCTGATAA